AAATAAGACAAAAAATGGTAAACTTAAATCGTAGAATATCGCTGAGCCTAGAGCTCGGTATGTTTTCCGCCCAGATACTCCTCCTTGATCATGTCCGCCCCCTTCTCGCCGATCATGATGCAGGCGGCATTGGTGTTCGCACCGACGATATCGGGCATAATGCTGGCATCGATCACCCTCAATCCCTTGGCGCCATGGACACGCAGGCGGGGATCCACCACGGCGGTGGGATCAGTGGACGGACCCATGCGAGTGGTGCCCACCGGGTGATAGACGGTGGTGGTCATGTGGCGGATGTAGCAACGCCAGTAGTCATCCGACTGATAGGTCAAACCATTGCAGGCCTCCAGATCGAGTTTGTGCAGTGTGGCCTCCCGTTCGCTGAAGGCCTTCGTCTTCGGCAGATTCTTGTAGATATTCAGTGCCCGGATGTAGGTGTCCACGTCGCGTTCGTCGGTCATGTAGCCGGGATCGATGAGTGGCGCCTCCAGGTAGTCCGTCGACTGCAGGGTCAAGCTGCCCGCCGAGAAGGGTTTCAGGTGGAGCAGATAGGTGATGTAGGTGTTGGTCTCCTGGTTGGCCGACAGAATGCTCTTGGCCACGCGATCATTGAATCCCGTGGCGGCCACATAACCCTTCAGTTCGGGACTCTGCATCAGGCTGAAGAAGTTGGTGGTCTGTATGTCCGGATTGGGTCCCTCAATCGAGGTGGTATTGATGAATCCCGTCAGGGCGGTGGCCTCGTGGTGCAGCAGTTTGCTATGACGACCCATCAGCAGGTTGTACATGGCGTCCACCAGCTCCTCCTCGGTGGGTTTGCGGGCCGTGGACTTGTCGATCTGGAAGATCACTGGCAAACTGGCGTGGTCCTTTAGATTGCGACCCACGGGCAGGTCCAGTTTCACGGGAATTCCCAGACTCTTCAGGTGATCGGCGGGTCCGACGCCTAAAAAAAAATTTAAAAAAAAATTTAAAAAAAAAAAATTAAAAGAAAAAAAATTAAAAGAAAAAAAATTTAAAAAAAAAGAATTAAAAAAGAAATTAAAAAAAAAAATTAAAAAAAAAATTTGCTTAGAATGTTGTATTTTAATAAAGTGTTTCTGCCCTTTAAAAACATGAAATATAAACTTAACTTAAGTATCTTTTGGTATTTTAGTATAGAAGTCTTCTTAGTTCTTTCGATGTTGATAATTTGATAAAATACATTTTTTGTTTGAAGTTTTATTCAATCTCCCGATTGCCTAATTAAAATCTTAATTTTATCAAAACCATCTGGACATTCTACTGCGTACTTTTCAGAATGTTCGATATATATAGAAACCAGTTTATAAAACAAACTAAAAACCTGTCCCAATTTGGTTTAAAATTCATGTGAACTTTTATGGAAATTCTGTTCAAACTTGTTCCAGCCATTTAAGAAGATTTTCTTTAAAGATTCCATTTATAACAATTTCTATAATCCCATTTACTTTTTATCTTTGCAGGTATGTGAACCCCATTTATTGTGAAAAATGCCAAGTAACGACACTTGAAGGAAAATGCTTGTGAAATCTATAACTTATCAATTGGTAAATTAGGGTACTTCTTACTTATAGGGGAAGTACCGCCCTATCGTAAATGATTTTTTGTTATATCTCGGTAGAACGTTATTTTCCATATGTTTACAATCCCGACCGATCGGCCAGGCATAATCGCTTGACCTTGCTCGACCTTGCGCGTGCTCGACATTGACATCTCATCGACACGAGTCTCAGTTGCTTGGGTCTGATATCGTACTCCGGTTATCTAATCGTCCGTCAATCCGTGCTTATCAAAAGTCTTTCCTAGTTTCCAGATGCAACCAAAAAAACAGAAGCTAATCCAACCACTAAACAAAGCCCAAGAGCAAACGGAAGATTTAGGGGCTCTAAAGAGGGATTGAAGGATCATAATGTATATATATATTTGTATGCTTGTGCAAGGGGAAAAACTCTAATCGCAATTCGTTATCATATCGTTATCAATTGCATTTTGGGAAGGTACCTCGAATATTTAAAAGATAGAGTAAACTATGAGAGATAAGTAAAGATATTTTTTCGGTATCTTGAATATTTTAAAGAAAGAGGTAATTATGGGGGATAAGTAAAGATATTATTGGGGTATCAAAATTAGAGTTTTAATATATCGAAATGGGTCTCTCGATAATTTAATATTTTGTTGCTAATATTGAATATTAAATAATGAATATCCATATATACATGTATTATTTGATATTCGATAAATGATAACATACATTGAACATCGCCAAAAAGAAGAAATAGTCTTTTAATGATACTTTTGCTACTTAAATATTAAATCAGACTTTTGTAGGGTGGTTATTTTTGTTACCTCCATGGTTTTAAGACTCACCTGAGAGCAGGAGGATCTGGGGCGAGCCGATGGCTCCGGCGGACACGATGACCTCCTTGCTGGCCCGCACCGTGTACTCCTTCTTGCCGCGATGCACGAATGTCACACTCTCCGCCCGATTGTGCCCATCCAGGTTGATCCTCTTGACGTGGGCGTGGCGCAGGATGTGCAGATTGGGCGTGTTCTTGTGCAGATGCGAGCGGGCGGTGGTGATGCGACGTCCGCCATCCTGGGTGCCCAGTATGTCCATTTGGCCCACAAAGGAGCCCTCGGTGAAGTCCGGTGCACTGCCGTAGCCCATCTCCAGCATGCCAGCGCGAATGGTCGATCGGAATTCGTTGTCCGAAACGTAGTTGTTCAGTCCCATGGGTCCACCAACGCCATGATCACCGGCCTTGTAGCCTGGCCGCGTGGAACGCAGATCCTCGGCCTTGCGGAAATGCTCCAGCACCTCGTCATAGCCCCAGCCCGGATTGCCCCTCGCTTCCCAGTCGTCGAAGTCCTTGCGTGTGCCACGTGCATAGATCATGGCATTCATGCCGTTCGTGCCGCCCAACATCTTGCCACGCGGCCAGTGGCAACTCTCGCCCAGCATCGCCATGCAGGCACGTCCATTCGGCTGCGAGTGGTACTGCCAGTCCCAGTCGGAGAACTGGGTGGCCATGTGCCAGGCCACGAACTCCGTCTCGATGGGCGGATCACCGCCGGCCTCCAGCAGCAGCACCTTCCACTTCCTCTCCTCCGCCAGGCGACCGGCAACCACGGCCCCCGAACTTCCCGATCCAATCACTATGAAGTCGTAGTCGTGCTGAAAGCCACCGGCATTGTCCAGCCAATCGCCTTTGTCCTCCGGCCACTGCTGTTGGCCACTCAAGTCGCAGTATTTGGCGATCAGGGTGGAGAGCAGCAGGGACATCAGGGTGTTGGCCGGACCCGCGGAACGGGCAGCGCACTGGGCGCTCAGGAACTCCATCTTGGAGTTGTCACAAGTCCTTGGGTTTTGCTGAAAAAAATGCACATTTCATTATAAAATATTTGTGGAAAAAAATGAAGAAGAAAATAACTTCGAGAAATCTCTAACATGTTAGAAACTTATCGTTTACCTTAGTTTATGTTTCGGTTACTTTTGAGTTCTTCTCAAAAAGTAATCGGAAAATCTACAAAAGTTTTACATTTAAGATTGGCCAGGAAATGCTTAGAAAATTATAGTACCTGTTATCCCTAAAAAGTTAGAAACTGGTCGTTTACCTTAGTTAATCCGTCAGTTAGTTTCAAGTTTTTCTTAAAAAGGAATCTTAAAATCTATTACAATTCTACTTTTAGATTGCCAATGGAAATCATTAGAAAATAATAGTACCTGTGATTTTATTTAAACATTGTTTAAGAAACTTCTATTCACAACACTCAAACTTATAATTTCGAAGTGGTCTTAATAAAATGAAAATTTTCTTTAAACATTGCCAAACGAGTTTCAAGAAAATAACAAGTTATTCTTGGATAAAATTTGTATTTCAGTCAAAAATTGTTTGGCTTAGCTTCTGGAAACTCACAAGTTATAATATAATCAAACTATCCTTAGTTATCTTTTCACTATAATATATATTGCCACTATAGTTTCCTTATGATATTCTTAGTAAACTGAAGAATAAAGCAGCATGCTACCTACCTATTCAAAGAAAATTCACTGAATGTCCTCGGGTAATCCTGAATTAATCCTTAGTGAAATCCAACGCTAATCCTTTTGGGTGTGAAAATCCGTAATCGACTTGTAGCACACGTCCGCTCGACCACTCCGCTCGACGGCAACTGTTCTGGCGGACCGGCATTCAGCCGGAATTTGTACGGCCGTGAAGCGAACGCTTTTCGTATGACATCGGCGTCCGTAAATCAAAAGCACTCGGAGACATTTGCATTTCGCTTCGAGTCGTACATAGCATAAAGCCAGAGCCGTACCCCATGTATATATATATTATATACATATATACGTACCATATACACACATAAATTAGACGCACCTTCCGCCTTCAGCAGCTGCTCGGCACTCCCCTTATCACACGAAGATTAGCCAAACGAGGTGTGATAAACCCGAGCGACCCATGGAAGCCACCCAAAATCGAGAATCGTGAATATAGAATATAGAATCGAGAATCGAGAATCGAGAAGCTAGATTCTAGAGTCTCCCGCGGTTTGCCCTCGCTTTATCTTTATGCTCGTGTGGAGGATCTGTTGTTTTGGGTTCCAGCTGATAAGAGAGCAGGTGTATTTTTTTTTTTTTTTTTCGAATTTGTTGAGGTATCGCCGCGTTGGGCAAACCTGTTGTGTGGGTTTGTGGGTCAAGTTTAGGCGGTGATATGCTAAACACCTTGATAATGGCAAATGGCTTCGATCATTCGTAAATTTCTTTCAATTCTTCATCAAAACCCTTCTCTCTTTTAAGATCTTTGTGGTTTAAAAGGTTCTAAATGGTATTGGGTTTTTGAAGGCCTAGATAAGCCTATATTATTTATGATATATTAAAGTGCTTTTAATTAAAACAAAAACATGTGGAACATTTTAAAACATTCTGAGGTTCTTTCCTCTTTTTCTTAAGCAAAAAAAATGTTCTTTAAATATATTTGTTCTGAATACCATTTTTTTATTAACCAACTATTGTATTAGTTTAGTAAGGCTTCAACAAATTTGGCTTAGAAATAGAAAAAAAAACAATAACCTTAAATATGTACAACTTTCATTTTGTCGAAATTCTTTACAAGTTTTCAAAAAAAAAAAAAATACGACATCATTTTAAATCTTATTTAATACATAAAAAAAAGGTTAGCTGTTTAGGAAGCTTAAGTAACCTCATGGTAATACTTTATGCACTTCACTTTGATATCGACAGCTTGTTGACAAGTTGCCATTTGTGATGGGGATTGTGTTTGGAATTGGCAAACTAATTAAAAACTAGAAATCATCCGCATGCATGTGCGGCACCCAGAGACCTCCGTCGCCGCCAAGAACACTGCCATGGTTATCCTCCCGGATGAAGTGGGCTGCCCTTTCGCCGATCATCACCGTGGCAGCATTGGTATTGGAACTGACCACGGCTGGCATTATGCTGGCATCCGCCACCCGGAGGTTATCCAATCCATGGAGCCGCAGGCGGGGACTCACACAGGCCTGGGGATCAGAGAAGGGACCCATTTTCACGGTGCCCGACTGGTGGTAGCAGGTGATGGTGAAGTACCTGGCATAGCATCGCCAGTACTCCTCACTGGGATACTGGCTGTCCAGGTGATCGCACTCCGCAATGGGAATGTGAGCCATTTCAGCTTGATGATCCCGGAAGGATTTGGTCTGCACCAGGGACTCAATGTACTGAATGCCCCGCATCAAGGTGGCCACATCCTCCGGTTCGGTTAGATAATTACTGGTCAGGATGGGTGGCTCACTCGGATCCGGACTCCTCAAACGCAATTCACCTTTGGCCAACGGATGGGAGAGTAGAACGAACACACAGAGCAGATGGGAGTCCCTGAGGTATTCCTGCAGAGGCTGGACATATTGCTCCTGGAAGGACAGACCCTTGGTGAAGATCTCCAGCGATGGGTGATCGCCTCGCTGGAAGAACAGGTGATGATTCTCCGTATCGGGATAGGGACTTTTGCTGCTCGCATTGGTGTTGATGAAGGACACCAAGGAGGCGGTGCTGTGAGTGGCCAAGGGTCCTTTACGATGGATGAGGTAGTCGTATATGGCATCCAGCATGCCCTTCTCGGTGATTGGCTCGGCCTGACCCTCGTCCAGTCGCAGAAAGAGTGGCACCAGCACATGGTCCTGCAGGTTGGCCCCCACTCCCGGTAGATCCACCTCCACCGGTATGTCCAGTTCCTCCAAATGCTCGGCGGGACCAATGCCGGAACGCAGGAGGAGAGCTGGCGAATCGATGGCGCCGGCAGAGAGCACTACTTCCCTGGTGACCCCAACTTGATGGCTTCGTCCGGCCTTTTCAAAGGTGACCGCTGTCACCATATCGTCATCCAGATGCAGTTTCGTCACCTTGGCCCTCTTCACCACATGGAGATTGGGTCGGGTGCGGTGCACGGATCCCAAGTAACCCTTGGCCGTGCTCATCCGTTGACCCGACCTCACCGTTCCCGGCACATGGGCATAGCCCGTCTCACTGCCCTCCTCGAATCGCTCCACATAGGGCTGGCCCAACTCCCGGGCACCGTCGATGATCAACTGGTGTATGGGGTCATCCTGCCGCTCGAAGGGACCGATGGTCACATAGCCCTTGGGACGGGTGGCATTTCCCTGGGGTGTCACGGATCGTTCAAAATAGGGCAGGACGTCATCGTAACTCCAGCCCCTGTTTCCCATTGCCGCCCAGCCATCGAAGTCCTTGCGATTTCCTCGGATATACAACATGGCATTAGCCCCACCAGATCCTCCCAACATCCTTCCACGCGGCCAATAGCAGCGACCATCCTTCATCGCCTGACAGGATTTGTCACTGGGCTCTGTGAAGTAGTTCCACGTGAATTCCGAGTGCTGCAGGCCAAAGAATAACGATGGCAACTAAAGCAGATTACAAGTGGATTAGTTGACATGGCTAATATTTAGTCAATTTGATGGAAATACATGTGTGTGAAGGAGGCTTGGGATTGAATTTAATCCTTAGTTGTATAAATCTCAAGGTCATGGAAATTAATTTGGGAGCATCGAATAACAGCTCACCAAAAGGAAAACTAACTAAAATTATTAACTAAGATTAAAAACAGTTAAAATCATCTTTACATCCATTATTAAACCATTATTTTACTTTGGAACATGCAATATATTTATATTAAAATATAATATTTCAAATGGAAAATAATTAATAATAAATCTAGAGTCTTTGATTTAGGGAAGTTTAAGTTAGAGAAGCTCAACTGTAGAATGTTTTGCACAACAGAAAAATGTTTGTTTATATAGAGCTTGATAAATGCCTGCATGCAAATAACATTATCTGCAAGATTAAAAAGCAGTTTATGACCTCATTGTGTTCGTCTTTTGAGTGCGGTAATTACGTTCAAATGCTGGACTAACCTCGGATTCGACGGGTGGATCTCCGCCCGCCTCCAGGACGAGTACTCGCCACTTGGGATTCTCGCTGAGCCGGCTGGCCACCACGGCTCCAGCGGATCCTGCTCCAATGACCACAAAATCATACGGCTGACTCAGATCCCCCCTGTAATCCGGTGGCCACTGGCTGGCAGGTGAAACGAGGCACTGGGCGGAGAGGAGGGATTGCAGGAGGACGGTGACCATGCCACTCCACAATCCGATGGCTGGTGGAGCGGGGCCAGTGGCATTGCCATTGCCACATGGATTCGGTCCAATGGCCACCGCATCCGATCCAAGATTCTGGCTGCCGGAGTGCGACATTGCGTTTGCCACTCGATGGGACGCGATTCTTTCTAGTTCTGAGGCGATCGCGATGCTGGAGAATTGCTTTTATAGCCGGTCGTCTGATAAGCGGGTACAGTGCATTCTCCCCCTGCGGCAACCAACCGTCGAGGACGTTGACTCCGCCAACGGCGAAGCGCGTGCAAATGTGTCACAAATGTACACGAAAAAAAAAAAAGTTTTTAAATAGCAATCGATTTGATTTATCATTACACAGACAAAATAAAGTAAACACATTATTGTTTAAATCCTTAAAAAAAAAAATTTTTTTTTTGGTAAGATCTATATATTCAAAAGTGGACATGTTGAAATTCAAAAACTTGAAAGAAATTCAAAAACTTGAAAGATACTCATAAACTTTAATCCTTTCGCCTGTTATTAAGGTTTTACTAATTATCCAAATCATAATTTTCCAGCATTGATACCCAATTTCAGGTCCAGATTAGGAATCAGAAACTTATACTCTCATTAATAGAAAACAAAAAAAAAGATCACATATCTTTTACACTGTGTAGTCCATTACATTTCTCAGATTTTTGCCTTTTTCTGGGGATTCAGCAAAAGTCGATTTCTATTCTGCTTTCGTTCGTGACCACACGTTTATAGCTATTATTATAAAAAAACCTATAACTCGATGGAACCCATCTATTACACTAAACATAGAGCTATCAAAATTATATCGAAACCCAAAGAAAAGGTGGGGAAAATTTGTGATTTCTATTTTCTTTGTCCATTAAATGCCTACAAACTTAGAAATTTCTATATGTATTTGCTTATGCAAATGAGAAAATAGTCATTTTAAAAAGGTATATAATCAAATATCTTTTAAATTTTCAAAAATGAACATTGCTTTAATACCTCATTAGAAGCCATAATTATTTTTGTGTGTGTATCGGCATCATCATCATTAGCAGCAGAATCCTAATCGAAATCTGCTCTTGTTTGAGTGACATTTCCAGTTCTGAAATGGGTGTAAACCTCTAATTCATCTCAGTTGCAAGCTCATTCGAACTAAATTCTTCCAATTACATTATATTGCTATATATGTAGCAACCATAAGCAATATAATTATCGATTAAGTTCAATAAAAAATATATGTTTCTTTTTATTATTGATAACGAGACCAATTGGTCATTCATTTTCCGCAGAAAAGCTGTAGTTTCATCATTAAACAGCAATAAACTTATTCAAAGATAATTTTATTTTGGTTTTTGTGGGAAAACGATAGTTTACATTATAACAGAAATTTCTTAGTTGTAATTTTGTGAGAATTTTTCATCTGCATCACTGTACTTTAATCCCCTTTCGCTCAAAAAACAAAGTAGGGTAAAAAAAAAGAGCAAAAACAATATATAATAGAGAGTTCCCCGATAACAGATTCAGATAACAAATTGCTTTTGAGACTGAGTTATCCCAATTGCACACTTTTTATCGCTACAAAAAGTCATAACCAGATAAAACAAGTCTCATAAACTCATTTATAGCATTTTGCTCAACACAAACGCACATACAAAGTCAACAAGCAAAACAGAAAAAAAAAAGAAAAAACAAAACAAAACAAGGCAACTGAAAAACGCCAAAATAAACGCTTAACAGAGTAATTAAAAGTGGTGCTTAAAAAGGCGCTTAAAAATTAGAGATAATTATTTTTGGGGTGGCCAAGAATCCAGGCTAGCGCCACCTGGCGGTCAGAGCCCGCTGTTCATGGCCGTGCGAATAAATTGAACGGGGGCGGGGGGCACGGCATTCGCAGCGGCCGCAATCAGATTGCCCACGGGCGCGAAATTTAAACCAGCACTCAGATCTGCAACAATATTAAAAGATATTGTGTTTGGTATCATATAACTTACAACTTTCATATAAAAACTTAAAACTGTTGGTTGATTGCTTGAATTGTGTTTTAAGTCGAATAATTCTAACATAAAAATTGTTTTTTAACTTTTACAAATAAAAATACCACGGATTTTCTTATAACAAGAACTACCAAAAATTATTTTAATATCAGTCTAATTTTTTTCTTTAAAAGACAATGTCTAAAATTAATGTCTAATTTGGTAATGTTGAAATTTTTGTAAATCTTTTTTTTTATAATGCCAAATTGATAATCTTGTAAATATGATAATTATTTAGAACATTTTTTAGGTTCCTATTTTTGTGTAACTTTAGTTTGCACTTAACTAGCAACATCACAATAATAGGGAATTTACATGTTTAAATGACAGAACAGGTTCCTTTTAATGTAACTCCTGCAGGCACTTTACTACCAAAAATTATAATAAAAGGGAATATATATTTTTAAATAGATAGTAGTGAACAGAATTTGGGAAGCAATAAAACATATTATTTGATTTCAAAACCTACCAGAAGGATCGTTGATGGGCACGGTATCGGCACCATTTCCGGTTCCTGTTCCAGCAGCAGTTCCCGATCCGGCACCCGTACCCGTCACCAAATCCTCGGCCAGCAGAAACTGCTGCGGATTGGCCTGGCTGCCGACCAGGAGCAGCATCACCATCACCATCACCATGGGAATCCAGTTGAGGGGCAGCTTCACCGGGAGCGTCATCTTGCGATCAGTGGCGGACGTGGACTGACCCGCTCAATCGCCGCGCACTCGCATGAAAAGTCTCGAAAACCTTTTCCGATTCGCGGCCCAAAGCAAAGCCATGGCCCACTGGGGCACCCAAACTGGTCAAACTCGTAAGCTTCGCGCTGCCATTTGCCATTTCAGTTCAGTGGCCGCTCATAAATTACGGGCTGCAAACGATTCAGAACAATGCCGCCAATGCATTGATAAAACTCTGAGATACTTATTAACTTTCTAGTAAATTTTATCAATTTTAGATTGATCTTACAAGAAATGCATAGGATATTAAACTCGATGAAATGCAGATAAAGTACATTTTATTTGTGGTTAATATATAAAAAAGTAAAAATGGATAAATGTAAATTCGTAAATTTAATTTAAACGATTCAGAACAATGCCGCCAATGCATTGATAAAACTCTGAGATACTTATTAATTTTCTAGTACATGTTATCAATTTTAGATCGTTCTTACAAGAAATGCATTAGGATATTAAACTCTATGAAATGTGGATAAAGTACATTTTATTTGTGGTTAATAAATAAAAAAAGCATAAACGTATAAATGTAAATTCGTTAATTTATAGATAATGTTGTATTTTATTTTTCTATATTTTAATCTATTGATTAAATGTATCCTTATATTAAATGTATAAATGACAAGAAAGGAAAGCTAACTTCGGGCGGAGCCAAAGTTGAAATACCCTTGCAGAATATTCTGTAAATTATATTCTTCAAAATTATTCATATGATGCATTCTTAATACTCATAAAAAATCCCAACTTCCTAACTTTAAAAACAACAAAGTTATGGCATTTCCAATCGTTCAGTTATATGGCCGCTATAGGATATAGTCGGCCGATCCCTATGAAATTTGGTGGGTCGGATTTATTGGCCAAAAATAAAACCCATAGAAAATCCCAACTTCCTAACCTTACAAACACCCAAGTTATGGCATTTCCAATCAATCAGTTATATGGCGGCTATAAGATATAGTCGGCCGATCCTTATGAAATTTTGTAGGTCGGATTAATTGGCCAAAAATAAAACATATAGAAAATCCCAACTTCCTAACTTTAAAAACACCAACGTTATGGCTTTTCCGATCGTTCAGTTATATGGCAGCTATATGATATAGTCGCCCGATCCGGCTCGTTCCGACTTATATACTACCTGCAATAGAAAGACAACTTTTGGGAAAGTTTCAAGCAGATAGCTTTAAAACTGAGAGACTAGTTTGCGTAGAAACGGACGGACGGACAGACGGACAGACAGACGGACAGACAGACGGACAGACGGACATGGCTATATCAACTCAGGAGGTGACCCTGATCAAGAATATATATACTTTATAGGGTCGGAAATGTCTCCTTCACTGCGTTGCAAACTTTTGACTGAAATTATAATACCCTCTGCAAGGGTATAATAAATGATAATGTTGTATTTTATTTTTCTATATTTTTATCAATTGATTAAAAATATCCTTAAATTAAATTTATAATTGATAATGTTGTATTTTTTTTTGTTCTATATTAAATTTATTAATTAATTAAATTTATCCTTAAATTAAATTTATTACCATATCCTAAGCTTTATAGGATAAAGTCGCAAACAGCAAACAACACTAATATACTCTCATAAAAATCTAACTGACTACAAAATCATAAATAATGGCAAGCAAAACTGCAAAAGTTCAAAGCGCTGGGAAATGTTATATGAAGTATTCGCTGTTAAAAGTAAAATGAAAACTTAACTGAATTGAATTGAAAATGGAAAACTGACAACTGGCAACTGCGGCAAGAGTCAAATGAATGCCAAGATCATTACCAAAGCAAATTAGCTGACCTGGGGAATGGCAACAATGGATAGTTCGCCATTACATGGTTGGGCACTTGCTAAATTCAATTGATATATGGATTGCTAATCGCAGTGGCTGACTTCGTTGACTCCCAGGCAACTGTCCAATGCCATATGTGTCCCATTAGCCAGGCATGCACTTCATTTACTCATTTACAAAGGGCTTATCTAGGTTGCAAGATCGTTTTCCTTTCATTTTCATAAATATCTTCCCATGCCCGCAAAACGAAATGTTTATTTATAAAGGTTTTCTTGTTGCGTGAGTTACGCAGTTGAGTTTAAATTGAATAAGGAATTGTTATTGATGAATATTCTGCTTAAATCTATATTAAAGGTTGCAGTTTACTAAAATAATTATAGGTATATAAACATTATCATGCAATTAAATCCTTCAAATGATACGAAAAGTAGAACCCAGTAGTTTAAAGCTAAATACAAATTGTATATTTGTTAAAATAGCACGCCCTTTTAAGGCAATAAATAGTTATTGAAGAGGCTTTTGACATGTTTAAGTTCCCATTAAGTCACACGCCATATATTCAGTATAGAAATTATTTTATTGTTGTTAAATTATGGTGCAAATGGTTGGATATTATTGGGCACTTAACTCCACCCGCCATCGCGATAGTGACGCCAATCCTCCTTGATCATGTCCGCTCCCCTTTCCGCCAGCATCAAAGTCGGGGCATTCGTGTTGCCCGTGGGAATGGTGGGCATAATGCTGGCATCGATCACCCGCAGTCCCCGCATTCCCCTCACCCTCAGCCGGGGATCCACAACGCCGGCGGGATCGGAAACGGGGGCCATCTTGCAGGTGCCCACCGGATGGTATATCGTCTGCGAATAGAATCTAGCCAAACACTCCCAAAAGGCATCGCTTAGGTATTCCACCTCCGGACAATTGCGCCACTCGTAGATGTTCATCGTGGCGTTCAGGGATTGCATCACCGGCGTTTGGGTCAGACGATGGGCCATCTTCAGGCCCTCCACCATCACGGCCATGTCGTGCGGATCGTCATAGTAGTTGGCATGGATGCGGGGATGAATCTTGGGATCGGGTGAGACTATCTGGAGGAATCCCCGCGAGCGGGGACGCATCACCAGGGGGGCTATCACAAAGGAGTCTTGGTAGATCACCGGCTCGAATGTCTCCGCATAGTTGTCCAATGTGATTGCGGCTCCCCTGCGTCCGACCAATCCACCATCTGCTCCATAACTATAGCTGCCCATGAACAGCTGGACATCGGGCCAATCCAGTCGGGGATCCTGATAGCGAGTGCTGAAGAAGCCCATCACCTCGCTTACGGGCATGGCATAGAAGAAACTATCGTGTCCTTGCAGGAACTCCTCCACCGCCTCTTCGTTCATCCTTTCGGGCACAATGAAGGAGAGATGGCGATCCAGGCCACTGTCGAAGGTGTATGTGGCTCCCGAGGTGGAGATGTGATCCTGGAGATTGCCACCCACGCCGGGCAGGTGCTGCACCACCTGGATGCCCAGTGGCTCCAGTTGCTCCCTCGGCCCCACTCCGCTGACCATCAGGAGTTGCGGACTGGCCAGTGCGCCGGCCGACAGGATCACCTCCCTTTTGGCCCGGACCACATGCTTGGCCAGACCGTATTCGAAGGCCACTCCCATGGCCCGATGCGATTGCGGATCGATCAGGAGTTTCTCCACAAACGCTTTCAGCACGATATCCAAATTGGGACGCTGCCAACTCCGGCGAATGTATCCCTTATTGGCACTGCAACGCAGGCCATCCCGCAGTGTTCCATGGGGCGGGGCAAATCCAGTCTGGGATCGACCATTGAAGTCCAAATCGGGATGGACCATGCCCAGCTGTTGGGCGGCCCTCATGAAGATGTCCAAAAGGGGTGAGGTGAATCTAGATTTTACCAATAAAAAATATATAACCAAATCAATGGAAAAAAACAAACCAACTCACCTATATCTTTCCACGGAGATGGGTCCACCGTGACCATGATAGGGATTGTGTTCAAAGCCGGGCACTCGCATGTCCTCTGTCTTTCGGAAATAGTGGAGGATATTGGCGTAATCCCAGCCAGGATTACCCAGTGCCGCCCACTGATCGTAGTCCCGCCTATTACCGCGTATATACATCATGGCATTGATGGAGCTGCAGCCCCCAAGAACTTTGCCCCTGGGCCAAAAGCAACGCTGATCCTCCATGGCCAGGCAATAGCGATCCGAGGGCTCCGTCGAGTATTTCCAATCCCAGGGGCTTCGCTGGAATACCGGATACAATTGGGGCAGATCAATGAGCAGGGGCTCATCCCCGCCAGCCTCCAGGAGGAGGACACTCCATTCGGGATTCTCCGAGAGTCTGGCGGCCAAAACACAACCAGCCGATCCACCACCAATCACAATAAAGTCATAGGATTTGCGCAGTTCTTCGATGTGTATCGAACGAACCCGATGCGGTTCGTCCACAATATCCAAGCGCTGCTCGAGGATTCCCTTATTGAGGAGCAGGATGACCATGGCCGAGGGACCGATGGTCAGCAGGAACCGCCACATGGCCACAAACGTGTTGATCGCCGTCATCGTGAAAACCCAACTGACTGGCTTTCGATGGGAACTATGAATCTTACTCCATCCGAATTTGCTGATTCAGCTGGAGCCGAAATTCGCTGATCCAGAGCCACCGTTTCTGTGAGTGCATTGACCAATGTGAGGGTCGTTCTGCAATCCCAGCTACTTAATTAATTACACTGGCCTGCAAAATAAATATTCCAAAAGAAACTCCAACAAAATATATTCATTAAAGTTGTCTGTTGGTAATATTGTTATTAAACAGGCGTTTTTAAAGATATTTATCTTCAAGAACGATGTACTATTTTTATATATTTAGTACTTAGTGTATTTAACCTATAACCCAAGCAGAACAATAAACAAATGGCACAAGCAAAACAAAAGAAAAACCCAAAAGTGTGGGGAAAAAAAATGCAATAAGCGAATATACGTACATACATATATATATTGAAAAGTAAAAGAATTCTCATGAAAGCAATTAAAAAAGTTTATATGCAAATCAATATGCTTATTAAGAATTTACAATGGTCTTGACTTTGAAATATTCTTTGGGTAATAATATTAAAAATATTAATAGGAATTATATTCCCAATTAATGGAAATAATGTAAAGTTAATATGAAGTCTATTCCCACATCGAAGTACTTTTTGATTGGTTCTTAAATAAAAGTCTTTGAATTCTGTATGTTCTTCCAAAAACAAGTTTTTAGTCGATAAATATGGTAAAGATTTTAATGTTTTGAAGGTAGTAAATATACAACTAGCGTAAATTAGTCTACAAAGCTATCACTTTTTGGCAGCAGTTTCTCTAAGAATGTATTTAGAACTTAGTTCAGCATTCCTGGAGCACCTCATTATCCTCCTGCCGATCCTCGAGGATCATTTGGGCTCCCTTCTCCCCGATCATCATGGCAGGTCCATTCGTATTACCCGCCGGCAATTCCGGCATTATGCTGGCATCCACCACGCGAAGTCCTTTGACACCATGAACCCGCAGTCGTTCATCCACCACGCCCCCCTCCTCCTGGGAATCCATGCGGCAGGTGCCCACGGAATGCCAGGCGCCCACATAGAAGTACCGGATGTAGCACAGCCAATAGTCATCCGAATCGGGTATCAATATATCGCATTCGGCGAGTGGAGGCATCCAAAAACGTAGGCCACATCGGCGGAAAGATCGGGTATTGGTCAGCCCTTGAATGTATCTCACATAGCGGAGTAGCGTCTGCTGATCCTCTAGAGCCTCGCCATAGTGGTTCTCGATTTTGGCCTGGTCCGAGGAATCCTTGCTGGAGAGACTCACTTTTCCGCGTGATAAAGGACGCAATAGCGAACCCATAATCTGCAGCAGATCCCATTTCTTCAGGGCATCTTGCTGAGCCTCAATCAAGTCCGACCGGAAACCCAAGTAGCCAAAGCTCCCGGTACTTCCCTTTGGCAGAAGAGTGTGGGCCACCACATGGAGATCGGGTTCGCCGAGGGTGGAGCTCGGTGAACTGGAGTTGATGTAGCCCATCATGTAGAAGCCGCTGGCCAAAGGACCCTGTTGATTTTCCAATAGATATTTGGTAACCGAAATGGGAGCATAGGGATTGTCTGTGGGATCGCGAGTACTATTCACGGCACAATTTGAGCCGAAGAGCAGGAACAGCGGCAGCATGCCATGATCCTGGAGATTACGACCCACTGGCAGGTCCTGATGGATGGGTATATCCCACTTTTGAAGCTCCTCCCGTGGACCGATGCCCGAAAGCAGCAGCAACTTGGCGGAGTTAAGGGTTCCAGCACTCAGGATCACTTCTCCCGAGGCTTTCGCCGTGTGCTCCACACCATTTAGGGTATAAACCACACCAGTGGCCTGGTTTCCCTCTGGATTTATGAGCACCCTCTGAACTTGGGCACCTCGTATCACTTTGAGATTCGGTCTTCTATTCACCCGATCATTGGCCAAATACAAACGAGCACTGCTGGCCCTGCGACCTTGGTTGATGGTCACGGGCACATGATGGGTGTAACCGAAGGTGGAACCCGCTATCAAGGGCTGCTTCATCCGGCGAACACCCAATTCCGAGGAGCCCGAGTAGATGAGATTGGCCAACTTCAGGTTGAGACTATTCGCCTGAAGATAGGAGAGATTGAGGCGTCGCTGGAGGCGAGTATAGGTCTGCTGGACCTGTGGCCAATCCCAGCCGGTTGTATTCCAGTTCCTGAAGTTCGCCCGACTGCCGGGAATGTAGATATTGCCATTGATGGCTCCACCACCGCCCATCATGCGGCCATGCCACCAGACGCAGCCATGTCCGGATGCCATCGCCTGGCAGCACTTGGGATTGGGTGCAGCTTCATCGAGGAACATGTACCGCTCGTCGTGATGCAGGGCTCCACTTAGGCCAAAGATTTCCGATTCCAGCGGCGGAAGTTGTCCCTCCTCCAGCAGCAGAACCTTCACCCGGCACAGTTCACTCAATCGACTGGCCACAATGGAGCCGGCACTTCCTGCACCCACGACTATATAGTCGTAGCTCTCGATCTCCAATTGATCCTCGGGTGGATTGTGCTGCACCGGCCAGGCTGTGTTGTTGGCCAGGGCGAGACTGGAGGCATTCAGGGCCATGGCCACCGATTCCATTAGCGAAATGCCCAGGCCACTGCTATCCACCGAAAATAATTGTGCCAAGGTATAGGGATTTGCCACAAGAAACGTGAGTAAGAAGAGTGCCCAATGGAGGGTTCTTGGCAACACTAACACCGGTTCGTGTGCCCGCTGATCGACCATCTTCATCTTCAAACTGATTCAACGCTAATGAAATCAACGAACCGGGCGGTACCGCTTTTTAGCCACAATTAAAAGAATGTCGCGCACGATAACCATATCAACGAAATTATACATTTACTCTGCCCGCTTTTATTTTATATTTCGCGCTGCTTTCTGTTTGCCACTCATAAAAAAAACCCGAAAGCAAACATCAAAAATTCAAGCCCATATATATTTATAGCTCTCCTCTGCTCTTGAGGCCCCGGTCAACAGGAGGCGTTTCGGAGTAAAATAATTATACAATAAAACATGTGTTTAGGAAAACACAGCTTTTTAATTGAATTGAAAATATGATTCAATAACGATAATTATAAAGAAATAAATCATCTATAATTGTCGCTGATCTTATATTTAAAGCTGATCAATAAAGGAAATATAATATATATTAATTTCCGTTTAAAATAGATTACAAATTTACAGCTTAAAAATGTTTTCTGAAATATTTGTGACTATTGCAGAATGATCTTAGTAAGCGGACATTTATAATGAAAAGTTATTGGGCCTCACTTAACTAAAAAACAATTTTGAAAATGTTACATAAATGTTTGTACCGCTTTAGTATCAGCTTAACGATACACCTAACTTATCTAGAATGTATCAATTATCGAATCGTGTTTGATATACAAATTAATTTATCGTTAGCGGCGAACGTTTAATTAAGTGAAGCTATAAAATAAAAAACAAATTGAAATTTGAGCGATAAGATAACATTTCCTGACCAACTTAACAGAAACCATTGAAAGACTCTATTTGAATGTTTTTATTGCGCTTACATAAAATTAAAATAAATACAAGGGAGTGCTTATAAAATACTTCAAAAAAAAAAAGAGGGAAGAGCAGAGTTCGATATAATTAATTTTGGATGGGTCAGCTCTATTCCTAAAACATTTACAATTAATTCAAGCACTCACAGACATTCACACTTGGTCCACTCATTTAAACACTCACAAAAGCCAGACATATTCACATACATTCAATGAATGGTTTTTATGAACTGATTTCTCAATTTCTTAGAATTATGTGCAAAAAAAACCAAACCGCAAAGTTTTAAGAGCCCAAAACTAGTGTTGTGTTCTGAGGTATAAAACATGCCAGAGCACTGTTAAAATAAAACAGGTTTTTATGCGGACTGAGTTGATTTTTAAGTTCTTAGTTCAGTTCTTTGATCAGTTAAGAAATCAGCTCGTAAAAACTAGGGCCTAACTACTCTACGAAGAAAGATTCGTTCAGACAATAGTGTTCTTGATCCAGAACTCCTTGATCATGTCGCTGCCCTTCTCGGCGATCATAATCACCGGTGCATTCGTATTGGCGGACACCAACTTGGGCATAATACTGGCATCGATCACGCGCAGTCCCCGGATCCCGTAGACCCTCAGTTTGGCGTCCACGACCGCATCCTTGTCCCAGTAGGGACCCATCTTGCAGGTGCCCACGGGATGATAGATGGTGGACGTGTACCGCCGCACCATGCACTCCCAAAAAGCATCCGTGAAGAGGGGCACCTGTTCGCATCCCGGCCACCGGATGCTCGAAATCCTGGACCCAAAACGCTGCATCGCTTTCGTTCGGGACAATGCCACCGCTATCTTGACTCCCTCGATCAATGTCTTCATATCGAAGTCATCCGTTAGATAGTTGGGGAAGATATACGGATAGTCGAAGGGATTGCCACTCCTCAAGCGGATATTACCCACACTGCGTGGCCTCAGCAACATGGGTATTATGCTCCAGGCATCGCGATTGTTAATCGGTTCGAAGACGGCGCGATAGAAGGCTTCGGTCAATCCATGAGCCTTCCGCAACTGCGATCCCCCGTCGGAGTTCGTCGATCCGGAGACAAAGTGGAACTCAATGTCCGGCCAATCCAGCGTGCTGTTCGCATATTTGGTGTTCACATAGGCCAATCCCTCCACTCCGCCCAGAATGGTCAATGGTCCTTGGCCAAAGACGGCATATTGCAGAACGGTGGACATGGTGTGAAAGCGATTCTCCACTATGGACACGGGCTGATTCACCAGGAAGGTCAGACCACCCAGGCCAATGTGATCCTGCAGATTCTCGCCCACACTCAGCTCCTTGATCAGCGGTATCCGATGTTTGGCCAACTCTTTTCGCGGTCCCACGCCACTCAGCATCAGCAGTTGGGGACTATTCACCGATCCGCCGGATAGGATCACCTCCTTGGTGGCCCGCACATGGTAGAGCTTCTGATCCTTGACAAATTCCACTCCAAATGCCAATTTCGTCACCGGATCGATCATAATGCGAGTGACATGCGAGTTCATTGAGATATGCAAATTGGGACGCAATCTGGCTGGTCTGAGGAATGCCTTCGACGTGGAGCATCGCGATCCGCGACGCGTGGTTCCCTGGGCAATCATAAAGCCCGTCATCTTTTCACCATTCAGATCCCGATTCTCGTAGCCCATCTCCACGCCCGCCTCCACAAAACTGGCCGCCAATGGAGTGTGATATGGTGCCTCGCCCACGGTGAGATAGCCGCCAGTCGCATGATACGGTGTATTGGCCAGATACTGATTGGTATTATCCTCCGACTTCTTGAAGTAGTACAGGGCATCGCGATACGACCAGCTGGGATTGCCCATGGCCTCCCAGTTGTCGTAGTCGTGCTTGGATCCCCGCAAGTACAACATGTAGTTGAGAACGGAGCTTCCGCCGAGAACCTTGCCCCGGGGCCAATTGCATCGACCTCCTTGCATGGCTGGAAAAGAAAGTATAAATTATTAGTTATATAGATATTTGAAGGGTTGAAAAATCAGGGGTCAAAGCTTTAGTTATACAGACGATTGATTTCATAGGGTAGCTATATGAATTCCCGATTTGCCTTTAAAACATTCAATGTAGCCATATGTATGTGTATCTAGTCTTGAAATTCAGTTTGCCAACGGGTTTCGATTTTTGTGTAAAGTCCTTAGAAGATCTATCAAAACTGATATATTTAGTGATTCTTTTTATGGCACAAATAAAATGTGATTTGTAGTGGCTAAATTCTAGAGGGCAACACCAAGATATATTTAGCGAATAAAGATCCGACAATCGGTATACAACAACCACATAAACTTTGCATTAGTGATTTATCAAAGCAATAACCCAAACTCACCCAAACATGAAGTGCCCGATGGTTCCGTCTTGTACTGCCAGTCGATCTTGGAGAGCTGCAGATAGCCAGCCATCAGGGGGACATCAGTGAGTTCCGTTTCATCGCCGCCGGCCTCCAGGAGGAGTACGTTCCAGTTCTCCACCTCCGTGAGGCGATTGGCAACCACCGCCCCCGCCGAGCCCGCTCCTATCACAATGAAGTCATAGTGGTCGAGGATGTCGTCGCCACCGACGTCGCTCGGTTTGGACTCCGGATCGATGATCTCCTCGTACTGGAAATAGGCCACCGCTGCCATCAGCATCGGGATGAACCAACTGTTGCTGGTGGCCGCCGTCACCGCTCCTCCAATTGCCGAGGCGGCTCCCACGATCGCCGAGCTCATTTTCTGGGTCGGGATCGAATGGGTATATATATGGGAATATATATATATTCAATATATAGGTATAATATATATAGGTCGTACGCCCGACCAATTTTAGATGGGACGTGGCTGCAATGACAATACAATTTTTTTCGGGTAAAAAATGTGGTGAAAAGAAGCGGTTTTTAGGGAATAAAGAAATACAGAGAAGTAGTGGACATGACACGAAAAGTGACTTAGACATTTTGTATGTAATCGGGTTATAGGGTGCGATTTTCATACTCAATATTTTGATCACGATCGCATCGCTTCGATCGCGTCGATTTCGTAACTTGCATTTGTTATGCATACATTTGGCTGGCTCTCCACATCGGATTCCCTCAACTCTGTGAAGTATTACGACCCAAGATAATCGTGATCGATAAATCTGGGAGCTAATGATTAACACAAACCATCAACCCAATTTCTCAAGGCAATAAAAGGTTCTATGACAGGTACTTTAAGCATTTATTTAACATGGTTTTTTTTACTGCCAAATATAAATTTCTTTAAACTGTTTTAATCCTTTTAGGTAGATTAATTGTAATCCATTGGGCTTGTTAAATAATAATATTAAGCTGAAGAAATTTAAAGCTTAATTTTTTTTGCTAAACTACAATTTTATTTGGCTATTGAACCCGTTTGGAGCTATTTTCCCAAACGATTTTTCATCTACGTACGTATTATAAATCTTTCGCGTCACGTGCTGCACCCAGTGTTTTGGAATGTAAAAATGTGTGTAATTCGGGTATGGATTGGTTTGAAGCGGGGATGTTTGATGCGGCATCTTTGGTTGAGGGGCCACCCGCGTAAAAGTGAAATCTCCCAGTCTATTATAAAACTTTACTGGGCAGCCAAAAAAAAAAACATAAATAAAACTGAAAAAAAAGCCGCAGCTAGCAACTTTTCACTTCCAGTCAAACTACATGCAACAATTGTGATGCACACTCACAAATTCCCTAACACATTCACTCACACGTACTCCTCCCACTTGCAACCAGTTTGCGTGAATACAGTGCAGCTTCTCTAGCATGAACTTTCTTTGCTAAACACTATCCAACCTATTTAAAAAAAAACTACAGTTAAACTTATGTAAAAGAAACCTAGTTTAGTTCTTGAAAAAAAAAGAAAAAATAAAATAAAACTTGTATTAACCAATTTAAAGAACATTGTTATATTCTAATATATGTTTACAAAAACAGAGTATGCTTTAAAATTTTTTTTTTTAATTTTTTATTCATATAGCAAATAGGCATAGAAATCGAAATGTAGTCGTTTTGTTATAACTGCAAGGGTATATAAACTTCGGCTTGCCGAAGTTTGCTTCCTTTCTAGTTTCTATTGATCTTCAAAATAAGAAGAAGCTAAGAGAAAGAGGGAAAAACATTTCCTCTTGCCAATCTTTTGCATAATCAAAGTCTAGTGACGGCTGCTACTGATGTTTTTTTTTTTTGGTTTTAGTCAATGGCAATTACAAAACTTGTTGTTGTTCCTGCTGTTAGATGTTGTTGTTGCAAACAGGTTGTAAGAGTTGAATGTGCCCACAGATCAAGTTCAAGGTATAAAAAAAAACAATCTACACTGAACAAAAAGTGCAAATGCAACATCGCTGCTAAACGGTTTTGTAAACAGTTGCCAAAGAGAAATGCATAACGCAAAAATAGCGGCATGAATCACTTTCGTTGAGAAAGCTTCTGCGTAGGCGTCGGAGAATTTTTATGCGTATTCTTTTTTGGGTTTTGAGTCCCCATTCTTTTTGTTTGATTTGATTTCTTTTCTTTTTTTTTTACGATTTTCGAGCTTGGCACACTTTTATTTCACACTCTTCTCTCTTTACACTCTTTACTCACTTGGGGAACAAAAAATAACAATTCTCAAATTCCTTAAAGCGATTTGTTTGTTTTTATTCTTGTGCGCACTTTCTTTCTTTTCTTTTATTTCTCTTTAATTCGCCTTTGCGCATGCGTGCGAGTTTTAAAAGCGTATTCAATTCTTTATACGGAGCTCCAAAAAACGACCTCGCGCTTTAAAGTTCGCTTGGTAACTGAAGAAAGAAATGCCGAAGAAACCGCTAAAGATGGCAGCGCTCTCTCCTCCGCTCTCCCAAAACTCCCATTCTCTTTCCTTAACTCTCTTTTTGGCTCTTTGGAGAGCGTAGAATTGCCCTTTTGGGCAGTTTGTCCGTTAGTTTTGTCCATTGCAAATGGACAATGGAAACAATCGGACATTGACAATCACTTCCTGTTTGGCTGGATATATGTTCATATAGTCCATATTGACTTTTGGACTTTGTGACGTGTTTGCCGGCACGTAGCCATTCCATCACTCACACCACTAAAACGAACGCTTCGGCGAAATGCTTTCACTCTTACTATTTGGTCAACTGACCAGAGCCAAAAGCTCCTCGACATTCAGAGGTGGCGGGCTTATTGACACCACCTTTTTGTGGGTCACTGTGCATGTGACGTCACTGGTTAAAGTGATTTGATTTTCGATTTAAACTAAAAAAAAACCCTAGACACTCTGACATAACTCTTTATATAGCTTTTTTCATTCGTTTTTGATATTAGATGATATATCAGTTACGAATAATTATGATATAGTTACGATGCAATTCATTTATTTGTTTTATAAAATTTGAACTTTAAATTATTTCCTCTTAACTGTAATCGAATATGCAAATATAAAATAAGGACTTTCCCATATATATTTATATTTTAAACAACAACTAAATATTTTGAAAAATATTAGAGGCTCCCACATAATTTTATAGTAACTCCTTGAATGGGAGCTACAAGTAGAATCAATAAATCAAGTGTATTTAAAATAGGAAACTATCATTCTGTAGTTGTAGTTAATATATCTCATCTTATGTCATAGAATGAAAAACACTTTAGTTATAGTAAACACCTATATAAAGTGATATAAAATATAAAATATATTGATTTGTGTAAAATAGTTTATTATATTGTTTCAAATTGTAATGCCCTATAATAATCAATACCTATACCTTTTTTCCAGGTGGCTGCTGCGGATCGACCAAGAAGCGTACGATTGTGGGCGGCTGGGCGTGGGCGTGGTGGCTGGTGACCGATGTGCAGCGACTGTCCCTCAACGTGATGACCCTCAATCCGATGTGCGAGAATGTGGAGACCTCGCAGGGTGTTCCGCTGACGGTGACCGGTGTGGCCCAGTGCAAGATCATGAAGGTACGATCCAAGGCCAAAGGTCACCTAGCCCATCTCCTCTGGTTTGTGGGCACTTCTGGCCACCCTTTTCTCTTCTCTGCACCCCCAAATCTGAGCGAAAGTGATTGAAGCTTGCCCGAGTTCGTTTTTCAGTTTCGTATGCAAGATTTGTTGGTTTCTTTCATAATATATATATTAGCCAATATATGCATATATAATCTTAGCCGATTAGAGTGCCGAAGTAGTAGTGAGTTGGTAACCTGCCTGCACCCGTTTCTTCAAACTGTTTATACATATCTCTCTATAACCGATCCGTATTGAACTTACTTTAATCAAATGTTTGGCTCTTTGTTTTGTACATTTCCCGCCCGATTCCCAAGTAATCCAACCTCCATCCCCATCGAATGCATATGTAGCCTAGCAAGTGCTCTCAATCTGACCACCGCCAAGTAAGTTGCGATCATCAATCCCGGCGATCTTCTCACGTAGACCTAGATAAAGCCGTAGACGTAGAACTACACTTAGAACTCATCGTACAACCCACTTTGTTTGTCCCTTTTCTTCGATACCCATTCAAATTAATATTTATTGCCTTATTTTATTCCGCTCCTAATAGTTTTTTCTTAGTTATTTTTCTAGCAAAAGGTAAAAATTGTGGATCGTCTGGCCGTTTTGCTCCTTTATTGATATACGATATTTTTTATTATTAGGTTGAATTTTTATTTTAGGTTTCTTCTTAGCTTTTTGGCCGTGTTGGACAGTTATGTGACTGAAACATCATCGTGATTTTACTTGACTATTACAGACATATCCGTGATCCGGACAGTTTCATGTTTGATTTATAATTGGATATTTTGATTGATCATTCACACCAATTGATTATGTGTTGTCTTTAAAATTATTCATTCCTTTTATATTGACTTTTTCATTATTTAGATTTTACGTTATCACTCGGAGGTGTAGGCACTCTATTAATCAATCATTTAGTCACTATGTTTCGGGATCTGTTGGTCTTCAACTCATTCCTTTACTCGATCACTTAATCTATATTTCACTGAAAAATTTATTTCCTTGTACACTTGATTTTCAGATCATATGTGCAGATAATCGCACAATCTATATTTCTCTAAAAAGTAATAAAAGTTATTTGGTTTTAAAAATTGGAACTCAAAACCTTGATTTCGGTCTTTTAAAATTCGAAAATTTTCGAAAAGCTCCAAATTAAAGAATGATCTGTGATAGTGTACCTATTTCCGGATAAACTCACTGTCTTTATATCATATCAAAGCACTCCACTTGTCTGATCACAAATGAGAATCAGTGAATGCAGCACAAAAAAAGAAAATGCACTTCACTTTCCAGTTAGTCGCAATTATGATCGATTTCTTATATGTACTAAAGATTTGCCTGCCTCAAAATTATGTTCTATTACTTAATTATTTCCATTCGATTTTGCAGTCATCTTCGTATAAGCATAACGAATATAACGACGAGGTATGTTTATTATTGCATTTATTTGATTTAGCATCCTGGGTTTGATTCTTGTTGGTTTTTTGGCCTTCCATCTAAATTTAAAGAAAATCTATATTTATGTATTTCCATTTGTTATCAAGCACCCTAACCACTCACCCACACGCACACACACGCATCCACACATACACAGCTAGCGAAAAGGGATCATGATCCATTCTTTAATATTAAATGCATGTGCTTTTTTTTTTGGGGGCTTTGAAGGCCTTTATTTGTTTTACGTATGCGTTTTACGTTAATCAAAGTCATTCAATCATCATCATCAGAAGCTGAGGAGGAAGAAGAAGGAGAAAGAAAAGTACAGTCTGCAAAATAATACAAAGAAAATATTGAAAATCGAAACCATGTTGATCTCTGTGTTCTACTCTCTTTTTTCTCTACTTTCTTTTCACCACCACCAAAAAAAAAATCGACCAAAAACCCTGCGACCGATCGTTCAACGTCCAACTCATCAACAAAAACTAATCCGCAACTAACTGTAACTGTAAACGAAATCAACTATAATTAACCAAACAAAAACCAAAAAAAAAATAACCACACACACACGCATTCAACCAACAAAAATCATTAAAATCTAAATTGTTCTACTCCAAAAAAAAAAAAAACCACAAAAAATACTGCTCCTCTACCGTTACTGCTACCGTTACTGCTCTGGTTGCTGCTGTTACCGTTATACTCCATGTATCGCTCTATATCTCTATATATACGTTATATATATTTATATAAATCTTTGTCGCCCTGTCTATGTGTGCATGTGCGTGTGTGTGGGTGAACTATAATTAAAACGAAACGAACCAAAAAAAAAAAAAACAAAAACTATACAAATCGAAAATATCCGTGCTCAAAATTAAAAAATATATTTAAAAAAAACAATCAATCAATCGAACCTGCAAAATGCCTTCACACACATGCACACCGAACACTGACATACGGACACAAACACACACACACACACACCCAAAAAACACTTACACACACACACGTACAGATGATGAATGTTTATTATTTCCACCATCAGGCCGACGAACTTCTAGGCACTGCCAGCGAGCAATTCCTGGGCAAGAGCGTCAAGGAGATCAAGCAGACGATCCTGCAGACCCTCGAAGGACATCTGAGGGCCATATTGGGTGAGTACCCAGTCATTGGGATCCAATATCACTAGCTAACCCATCTGTTTCTCATACCTTATGACAGACTTCCAATTTTATACTTAAAATATGAGGCATTGATTTTGCTTTCATTGTCAAATTTGTAGCCCTAAAAAAAGGTTTTTGGTTTTAAAATAGGACCTAGATATTTTTAATATACCCTACATCGAGTTAAAATATTTAAATGCAGAAATGTAGAGAATTATATTAAGAATATATAGTCTTTAAAATCCGGTTTTAGTTTGTCAAGTCATGGTCCCAGAAGTTGAGGTCTAGACTTTTTAAAGATCTTAATTAAAATGGATCGAGGTCACCACACCCTTAATGTAGTCGAATCTTACCTCGTCATATAAAATGTTACTATCTGATATGGGCCAGAAATAGAGTCACATACATTTAAACAAAAAAAAAATAAGATCTATCATATACTAATTCAGCGCAAGGTAACCTTTCTTCAAAGCACAAAAAATATTGCTTATAGATTTCTTTAATGGAGCTTACTAAATGTATTGCATACTTTTGGGAGCAGCCATTAAAAGACGTTTGTTCACTGCGGAATAAATAAAACACAATTGTGTTAATTAATCTTATGCAATCATATGCCGCATTTAAAATTTATTTTTTGTTTGGTTTTGTAACTGCTACGGCTTGAATCATTAATTTCTTTCTCATTCATAATTATATTTTGCCTTTTCAAGACATTTTTTTACGTTTTCCAATTGCTTTTAAATGTAACTTCTTTAATTTTTGTAACGTTCGACATTTGTTATGGTTTTGCTAAGCTTCAGTGTTTTTATGATTTCTGTGTTTGCGCCTCTAATAATTCTAGCAAAGGCCATTTGCTTCTTTTATTTGGCTTTCGATGTTTTTGGGGTTTAAGTTTACCCACTTTTACTAGCATTTCGGTGCTATAATTGTTCTTATGTCTTGGGGTTCAGTTTCAGATGGGTTTTTTTCGGCAAACAACTCAATTTGGAAATGGGCAACCTTATTTGAAACAAATAACAAGGCAGGGTCATTTTTTGTAATACATATCCAGATGGGGCTGATCGAACATATTGATCGCATAGTCCAGTTGATCCAGTTCACGTTCGATGGCTATTTTTCGATTGCGCACGCGCAAAGTGGGCTCCGAAACGGGCATATGATTATATTCCTCGACGAGCTTGCCGTATTTAAAGTGGGCATCCTGGAGGGCAGCGCTCCTCTCGTTTTCGGTCAATGGGGTATAGCCCTCGTAGACGGGTGGCGATTGTGCCGGTGCCGGTGCCTGTACCTGTTCCTGTACCTTCTCCTTGGCCCTTTGATCCTGCAAATGCGATGGTGGTGGCATTATCTCCATTATCTGCGACTTGCGACTAACTTGTGATCTTTGAGATCTCTTCGAAGCCGTGGTGCTTCGCGAGGCCACTGTGCTGTTCGACTTGATGGTGGCATTCGAGCGGACAGTCTCCTGGGAAACGGATCTCTTGGACTTGAGGGTCTTGGCCGAGACACCGCTGCGGGCACTTAAAGGCGCCTCGGGATCGGTGTTCTCTTGGGAACGAGTGGGGATCCTCTGGGATCGACGCGACAGCCGGGACATCCGGGAACATAAAGAAACGTGATCGGCCTGATCACCCTCGCCCTGTTTGGTTGTCATCACTTCTGCTCCGATTCCGTGACCCAATGTCTCGGCTTGGTGACCCATAGTCCCCTCAATTGGGTGACCCTTTTGGTAAGCCACTGTCTGCCCTTGGTGACCCTGATGGGTAGCCACTGCCTGGCCTTGGTGACCCTGATAGTTAGCCACTGTCTGTCCTTGGTGACCCTGATAGTTAGCCACTGCCTGACCTTGGTGACCCTGATAGTTAGCCACTGCCTGTCCTTGGTGACCCTGATGGTTCTGGTGGCAGGGGCAACCGTGGCAGCACTTCCTCGGCGCCCTCTCCTTCTCCCTCCGCTGATCCTCCCAGCCGCCCTGCAGACGCTCCTGCTCCTGGCGCTTGTCCAAATCGCAGCCACATGGATTTGGTGGCTGCCTGCGTCGTTGATCGCTCCTGAAGCCATACGGCTGGGCCAGACCACTCCGCAGATTGGAGGCTTCATGGGCGGCGGCGGACTGGCGTGGACGACGCTGGCTATTCTGGATGCGGGGACGCAGCTTCTCCGCATAGTGGAGCACCACTGGACGCCACAGGGGCACCCGACGGGCATTGGCCGCCGCTAGACACCTGCCATTGGTCTCCATTCGCGAGACATTCTGCTTGTTCTCCTGCAGGAAATCACGACCGCCGCCATGTGACCGTCGAAGCGACGACATCTTACACTTTGTTTTGTATTATTTAGATATATATCGGATTAACTCGATTGTGTGGGCTAAAAATTGAAAATATTTTGTATTGATTTTTCACATAAAGAAACGAAAGAATACTAAAACTTAATCCGGAAGCGAGAGTTGTGCGATTTATTCTGAGGTGTGCGTTTTGGTCGGAGTTTAAAATGATACTGAACTTTCGGAGGCTAGGATATTGACATGTGTGTCGAGGTTAGCGGCAAAGCCTACTTGGCACTGCTTTTTACCTGCCACCCTACAAATTTGTATTTATACAAAATTTATCATTCACCGTTTCTAGTTTCCAGTAATTTCTTGCATTATAAAACATTGACAATAATGCAATAAACACTTAACAGTCTGTTTATGCCTATAATTCAACTAATGTGTATGTGAAATGAATACATTATTATCAAAATATTCCCCTGGGTTTTCTATATAATGGACTGACTTGCAGTAGTCTTCTAGATAACAAGATTTTTGGTTTCCGCAGACACTGGCATGCTAAACGTTCACATTCTTATTAATAATAAACGGGAAGTTTGCTAACCTTAATCGATTCAATTACCTAACTATTATATTATATATTGAATACATTTCCCGACCAACGTTTCCTAGCATTCTTTTAAAGTCAATCTGCAAGACTGGTTATATTTATTACATTTGATACAAATTGTGAGCTACTTTTCTTATTTCTTAGTTTTGAAACATTAAACCTAGGAATTTACTTAAAATTAGAAAAACAAATACAGGGAAAAGGTACTATATTACCTTGGAATCGTCGAGTTTGCATTCTAGTTCTATTTGCGACCTTGATGGCCAATCTACAGCTTTTAATTAAACATAACTCGAGTCGAGGGTTTATGAGACCATCGAACCCGAGTCGTTATAGTCTACTATAGTTTAGACTATACTGTGTTTACGAGACGCTCGAGCCCTCAAGGCGGTTTCCATTTGGCGGCGCGATTACAATTTCATTTTGCGAGTCGTTACCCGATTCCAGTACCGATTTCCATTCCCATTCCCATACTTATACCCATACCCATACCCATTCCTATACCCATACCTATACCCATTCCGAATCCGAGTCCGAGTCTCCGGACAATTTGAGCTGTCAGTTGTGAGCACATCGCGAGACGCTCTGGTTGTCGCTTTTTTCCAATCGCGTGTGAATGGTCGGGAGGCCAAAAGCCAATATATATTAATAAACCAATAATTGTGGGTGCCAAGGATGATCTGAGAGCAACCACTGCGATCCGATTAATTCCCACTCGAACCCCTTTTTTTTTTTGTTCTTGAAGTGACGTCACTGTGAAGTGGAACTCTTATCAAAGCCAGCGATAAGACTGCGTCAAATGACGTCAAAAATCATTCCCTATCGCGACATGATTTAATTAAAAGCCAGCAAGATAGATGACCAGATAGTGGTTAGCAGAGCAGATAGCAATCCAATAAGTAGAGCCCCGTTCGGTGGCCAGTGGAACAGTGGAACAGTTGGACGACGACATGTCCGTCGTGTGGATGGGCGTCTTCAAGGTGGCCCTGATAGTGGGCGTTACCTCGCTGGTGGTCAGGCGGTAAGGTCATCGATTAAAGGTGGAAAGAAAGAGCCACCCAAAAACAAAAATATCACCCCGAAACAGTGGTCATTTCGTTGCTTTATTATCATGTTCAACACGGCTGTTATCTGTGGCATGCCAAATGCGGGTTTTTTTTGTTTAAAATACATAAATAATATTTATTTATTATTTACTGGTTTATTTCCTAAACTATAGTTTGTTAAAAATTAGCAATTTGACCTTCTATTAACGTACGTGCTCGATATTGACCATCCCAAGGCATTTGCAGTTTAATTCCGATTTGGAAACGTGATTTGATTATGTTGCATATGAAGTTGCATAATTGCATTTCTGATTAAAGGCTTTATGTATTTATTTTTAAAGTCATAGACTTTACTGCAATTCAATTCTGGATGTGCTGTTTAAGCGTTTTCCGTTTCCAAAACAAATAAATAAACAAGTTTATTTCAATTTGACAATATCTATTTCTTACTGATTATGTTTATTGGTTAAGTCGTAAACACTTCCTAATGGACTTCAATAATAATAGAAACAACTCAAATAATTAACAACCGAATTGTTAAATAATTGTTTTAAAATATCTCTGATACTTTTTGGTATACAGAATTTAGTTTTATGAACTGACCTGATAAATAAATTGTCATTTAAGTTTCTTTGCGTAATGCCTGTGTATATTTAGCTGTCCCCATAACGACACCATTTAATATTCGATTCCCCGTTCGCTTGTGTCCTTGCAGGAACGCTTACAGTCGAAGAGGTTTACAAGGACCGCGACCAGTTCGCGGCCTTGGTCCGCGAGGTGGCCGCACCTGATGTGGGTCGCATGGGCATCGAGATCCTGTCGTTCACCATCAAGGACGTCTACGACGATGTGCAGTACCTGGCCTCGCTGGGCAAGGCCCAGACCGCCGTGGTCAAGCGGGATGCCGATGCCGGTGTGGCGGAGGCCAATCGGGATGCCGGCATCCGGGAGGCCGAATGCGAGAAGAGCGCCATGGATGTGAAGTACTCGACGGACACGAAGATCGAGGACAACACCAGGATGTACAAGCTGCAGAAGGCCAATTTCGATCAGGAGATCAACACGGCCAAGGCCGAATCGCAGCTGGCCTACGAACTGCAGGCGGCCAAGATCCGCCAGCGCATCCGTAACGAGGAGATCCAGATCGAGGTGGTGGAGCGTCGCAAGCAGATCGAGATCGAGTCGCAGGAGGTGCAGCGCAAGGATCGCGAACTCACCGGCACCGTCAAACTTCCCGCCGAGGCGGAGGCCTTCCGCCTCCAAACCCTCGCCCAGGCCAAGCAGTGAGTATCAAGACATGGCTATACCAAAATATTCACAGGAACCATGGATATATTCTCCAACCGTCAATCAAATCCATCCCGTACCACGTCATCCAATGGCCAGTTTGTGGTAAACCCCTTAACCACTAAAAAAAAACTAAAACAAAACAGTATACCTTCAAAACTGAATAAAATGAATACCGATACTAGTGAGATTTCATTTCCAAAGACCGATGACTAAACCGCCAATACAAAACACCCAAAATGCAATGGCTATTTTGTGGTAAACCCTGATCGTGCCAATTTCGTCTTAACTACAGAATAGTTACGGCAATAACTACAAAATAGTTCCGTCCGATATTGACGGGTTTACCTCAAACTGGCCATTGGATTTTGGGTTTTTGGTATTTGTGGTTTCGCTATCGGTCTTCAAAAATGAGATCCCAAAAGTATTAGTATTTATTTTCCTTTTAAAGGATACTTTTTTGTTTCTGTTTTCTACGATGTTTTCAAGTCTCCAGAAGATGACATTTTTGGTTTTCTGCTGCAATTTTCTCAAGAGCCTCGGGAAAGTGGGAAAGGCATTTTGATAGACCCTTTCGTTTGTTCTATTCTCCCTTTCTCTGCGAGTTACTGGCGAAGGATATTGTAGAAAAACTTTGTAGATTTTGAAGTGGATTCCTTGTTTTCATCTTTGTTAGCCCCTTTGTCCCTCCTCACAAAATTCGGCGTAATGAACTATGGAGTTCTATCGATTGTCTGGGAGGCGCTTCTAATGAGTTCCGAAGTCCTGATGTTCAGATTGGCAGTCCCTGGTAAAAGGGTTAAATCCAATTTAGCTTCATAAACGTAACGACTTGAAAGCCAGCGCATAACTTACCACGTTCAGCACTAGATTCCGAATCCAACTGGGGTGTTTTTTCTATGGACAAGCGGAGAATTTGACCTAGAGTCACCGTAATATTTTTTTGTTTACTAATTCAGATAATTTGGAAAACTGTACGGAGCCGCTGAAGCAAGTCAGTAAAGTGAGGAATTGGGAAAAAATCAATACCAATTTGACGTCTCTGAAGGACAAGCCTACTATTCCAAAAAATAAATTAGTAGTGTTGGCTTATATCCTTTAGTGTTGGCTTAAATTCATTAATGTTGGGTTATACCCATCTACCCATCTACAAAATTTAAAAATGATTTAAGCAGTATTGATACTCAGTATAATATCAAAACCAGAATCAAATTAGGAAGACACTATATGGATTAAATCAAACAAGAAATTATAATAATTATTATATCAATTTTTTGTATGTTTTCTGCTTAGAACTTTTTATTAAAAAAAAACGCTTAATTACAATTTGCTAACGTGACTGCACACATCGCGTTCCATTTATAACAAACTATAATTGTAATGGGAACTATAATTCCGACGTTGCAGCTTTGTCACATAGTATAGTATAGTAGGTGACCATTATCTATTGTAGGTAAACTCAATTTCAGCACGAACAACTAATTGCAACACTGAGGCTAGTTATTTTATAGCAGAGACATGTTTGTGGCTGTTCTAAATCGTAGGATAAATGTAAATAATTTATTTCCAATAACTTACAACTGAAAAATGATTTCTAAGGATACGCGACATTCCCTTGATGACTGAGGGAGAAAGTAATTATGGCAAGCCTTACTAAGAACCATCTGCTCCCCCTTTTCAGATGCCAGACCATTGAGAGTGCCCGTGCCGAGGCGGAGCGCATCCGGAAGATCGGATCGGCGGAGGCCCATGCCATCGAGTTGGTGGGCAAGGCGGAGGCGGAACGGATGCGGATGAAGGCCCATGTGTACAAGCAGTACGGCGACGCTGCCATCATGAACATTGTACTCGAATCGCTGCCGAAGGTTGGTGCCCTAAAAAAATATATATAGAATTTGTTTGAGCAGCACCACTAATACCAATTGAAAATCCCCCACAGATTGCCGCCGAGGTGGCTGCACCGCTGGCCAAGACAGAGGAGATTGTCCTGATTGGCGGCAACGATAATATTACCAACGATGTGACCCGCTTGGTGGCCCAGCTACCGCCCTCGATCAACGCCCTGACCGGAGTGGATCTGTCCAAGGTTCTATCGAAGATTCCCGGGGCCAAGGCGTGAAATCTAATGGAGTGGGATATCCAGCAAATGGCAATGACAACGTAACGCAGCGCAAAGGAATTGTAACCGATCAAAAACGGCAAAGGGGATAGAAAGAAAAATGAGAAAGAGACGGCAGGAGAGTGACGGAAAGGGATGCAGCTAGTGTGCTAGAGAGGGAGCGGGCATTTGTTAGAACGAGACAGCAGCAAATCGAACGAGAAACTCACAGCTTGAGTTTCGAGATGCAATCGAACGTAGCAAAATGTACTCCGATATTATATTTATATATATATATATATATATATATATTTGTATATGTATATGCACACATATAATACACACATACACTTGTCTCGTCTGTGTGGTGTGCCAGAGTGTGTGTGTGTGTGATGTTTGCCCGCGTAACAATCAAACAGCTAAAAAAAAAAAAGAAAAAAAAGAAACCAACGTTAATCTCAGCTAAAGTTATGCATTTTGTACGCAACATTTTGTGGCCTTTTCTCTCAAAAACGAAAAACCGATAACGATAACAAAAATCAACGTGAAATTTGTATAACTTTAATGCAAAAACCATTTAAGCAGAGTGTTAGCTATTTATTTACTAAACTATATATACTATATACATACATTGCTATACACAAAGAGTTCTTCTAAGAAACCACATCAAATTCTATGACAAACAGTGCTGTAAAGCCTTATATAAACTTTCAGTGTTGAAAGTTGTCTTTGTCTCCCTTTCTCACATAAAATCGATATGCTTAAGGAATTTCCATCTGTCCAAACTACAAATACTGCCTATCGACTAAAGCCAAATCTGTAACCTAGAGAAACCGAAAGAGAGGGAGAGAGAGTAATTTTCTAGTCAATCGATCAAGTTCCCATTCATAAAATTCAAGGACCAAACTAAGACTTTAATATCAAGCAAATCCTTAGAGCATAATCATTTTCTCACTTTCAGAGCTTATAAAATGTGTAATATTTTTGATTATTCTTTAAAATCAATGAGGGATTAAATGAAGTGTCTTTTTCGAAGATATTGTTAATTACAAAGTTTATTTTTTCTGTTGTCTAAAATGTTTACCCCAGTTTAAATGTTGAGTTTGACTTAAATTGCATAGTTTCAGAAACCTTTGACAATTCAATTAGGATTATTATTATAAATAAAAGCGTGACCTCATTTGAGTAAACTCGTACTTGTTTTTTTTGTTAATTTGTAATTGTTGTTTTTCTACCGGAACGTGCCATTTAGGGTTACAATATTGTAGATAGGTTACATTCTGTTCAATAAATGTTTTCGTTAGATTCTTGAATTTTTAAGTTAATTAAATCGAATTTTTGTTGACTTTTGATTATGTCTTATAAATTGCTAGGAGTACCAAAACAAACATTATTATATTTTTGACGATCGATTGATACTGGTATATGATGAATAACTCATATATAACTTTACAGCACTGTTTCTTCTGCAGTTGGCGCTCTTCCAAAACCCACATACACACACTAACCAACACACACACACATGCGTTTGGATTTTTGTATTCAGTTAAGTGCACAAAGAGAAATGGATAAACATTTGTTTGTTATAATTCAGTGACATCCTATACAATACTTTCATATAAGTATGTCTGTCTCGCCTAATATATTTTTTCATGTTTATTTTTTATATAATATCACATATTTACCTACGAATATGCATTTACAAATTTTGTACTTTATTCTTACACTGTTTAGTTTATAGCAAAAGGCAAGAAAAAAAAAGAAAAATAAAAAAAAACATTTTTGTTATTTACTTACAAACATCTTACTGAAATTTACATAGTTAAGAAATTAATCCAGTCCTTTCATTTTGCTAGAGTAATTAACCCTAATTTTGTAATCACTTTACCGAATCACACACACACCCATTAGACACACACACACACATCCATATATATTTTTTTCTATTGTATATTAAGTGCAAGTAATTTTAATTGTAATGCAGTGGGAAAGATAAACAGAACAAGAACAACAACCAACCGAAGAACTAACTAAAGCTAAACCTAAATAAATCAAATGTAAAATTTTGTGTATTTTGTCGTAAATAAATAAATTGAAAAATACTTATCAGATTGATTCATATTGGTATTGGAGTAATGAGACCAACCTTGGTGATGTATTATTAAGAACATAGTTTCAGAACTCATAGATCAAAAGAATGGTTTTGGGTAAACCTTTCTAATTTTTAATTAAATAATGTTGCTCCATCATTTAATATCTTCAACATATTACTCATAATCAATTGCTGTAAATGCCACTTTGTTGGAAATTTTGAAACTAAATTCTCGCTTCCATATTTTAATATGATGTTTCGGTCGTCAGATTTCGATCAATAGTTTTTTAAAAACAAGAAGACTACCCATTTTTGTCCCATATAAAATCCATCTCTTTCAACTAGCAAATTTCGTCTTTATTTTCAAACATCGTGGCATACATGGCGTATATATTTATATTAATGGCATGCCGCTGTCTTTCAATACGATTAACAAACAATTGTCTTACAGCACTATGCAAAAAAAAAAACATATATATGTAAATAGGGGAATATCATAGTGAAATATCGGGTCCGTCATTAAGCTTAAACACAGGTTGCAGTACAAGCATACAGATTACACTTTATAGATACGTATATGTTTATGGATAGGGGCTGCCTAATCTACACTTACCAACTATGGACCAATCGAGCCGACTAATCGAGACCTATATCTAAGCCTAAAAACTACATATTTTCGAAGTGGTAAATGCAATGTCTAAACCAACGCCAATGGATCAGCGATTCCAGGGCCAACATTGATGTTCATCATATACATACATGTTCTGCGGGTTGTCGCAACAAATCACTAGAGATCTTCAAGAAGTTATAACGACTTGGTCTTTCATTGAGTAAGCGATGGCTTAAAGATCTCTGGGAATCTGGGTGCCTCCACCCCTGGATTGAGACGAACAAAAAAAAAATCACAAAAAATATATCTTAACGTATGAAGATCCCACATGTTGTGCGAACTTAGTCGGAGAACTTTTCCTTGAGCTCGCGACGCAGGATCTTGCCGGTGGGATTCTTGGGCACCTCATCGACGAAGATCACTCCGCCCTCGAGCTTCTTGTAGTGGGCCACCCGTTCGGCCACGTAGGCGGAGATTTCCTCGGCGCTGGCCTTCTCTCCCTCGCGCAGGACCACAATGGCACGCGGTGCCTCTCCATTCAGTTCGTGGGGAATACCGAAGACGGCCGCCTCCAGGATTTTGGGGTGATCGCGCAGCACCGCCTCCAGCTCGGCCGGCGGCACTTGGAAGCCCTTCACCTTGATCAGCTCCTTCATGCGATCCGTGATGTAGAAGAGGCCGTCCTCATCGTAGAAGGCCACATCGCCGCTGCGCAGCCAGTTGCCCGGATAGAAGGTGACCTGGTTGGCCTCCTCGTTGTTCAGGTAACCGGCCATCACCTGAGGACCGCGCACGCACAGTTCGCCGGTGGTGCGTGGACCCACGCCCTTGGCATCGCTCCCATCCAGGGGCACGATCTTGGCCTCCGTGCTGCCCGGCAGCACTCCAGTGGAGGCGTAGTTCTTGTTGCCCTCCGGAGTCAGTAGAACCACCGGCGAGGCCTCGGTCATGCCGTAGCCCTGCTTGAACACGGTCTTCGGGAATCTGGGGGGCAGTAGGAAACATATCATAAGTGGGGTTGTCCCAATATCATCCATTGTCAACTCACTTGTGCAGGAAGCGCTCCACATCGTGCTGGCCAATGGGGGCGGCTCCGCTCATCACCACCTTCAAATGGCGCGCCGTCTCCTGCGTCATCTTGGGGTGGTTGATCATGAAGAGGGCTAGAAAATAAATGTACAAATTAATAAATGGAAAGGTTTTCAAAGTTCACTTTTAACTTTAATCATTAATCTATATGCATTGGGAGCATTTAATAATATCGCCTCAAAAGACTCAAACTTTAGCAAGGAAGGTATCTATTAGAAAGAAAGACTACAAGAAGTACAGGTTTACAAAAATGAATTAAAAATTATAAAATACCTTTGCCTTTTATCTTTTATTATTTAATTATTAATTTTATTATTTTAGATTCCAGTTTAAACAGGTGTATTTTTAACAACTCTGTCATGTTCAATAAGACCGGTTAAATTGTGAGTTACCAACACCTTCAATTTGTTGATCCGATAACATACAGTTTTACAGTCACTTTCAAAATAGCTTTAGCCATATTTAATTTAAGAATCTATACTAAGTATAAAGTTGATTGTTAGCGAATGGCAATAAAAAAAGCCCCAAATAAATTCATTGACATTTTTAGTGTATTATACTTTTTTTCATATTATACTTTTTTCATATTATACTTTTCATATTTATGGGAAGCAGCTATCGGCTAAGCTATATTTTTTACAGATTTTGTTATTATACTATACTCGATATAAGAAGTCAATTAGAAGGCCAAAGATTATTGATTTGATATTTTTCAGAATAATACTACATTCGAGATATTGAATTCGGGATTAGGTACATTACATTTAATTCCCTTTCGGTTTTCGAAAAACTAAATCCTAATTTTAAGTCGTTATGAGGAATTATACTTTATGGACAATTGGGCAAGGCTATATTAAATCCTTTCAATTATTAAGGTTTGTATTACGAAGGTTTTACTCACCAATTGGGGGCACCAGGTTGAGGATGCTGCCCTGGTATTTGTCCAGGGAGCGCATGAAGTCGTCCGGCTTGAAGCTGGGCATGGTGGCCAGTCGGCAACCCTGTCCCAGCTTGGACAGCATCACCACGGTCAGGCCGTAGATGTGGAAGAAGGGCAGGACGCCGGGCAGGGTGTCCTGGGGACCCAGGAGGTCCAGTGGCAGCGATGCCTGCACCTGCTCGCAGTTGCTGGTGATGTTGTTGTGGGAGAGCATCACGCCCTTGGGCAGACCGGTGGTTCCGGAGGAGAAGGGCAGGAAGACCATGTCCTCGGCGGTGGCGTCCTTGGGCGTTACCAAGTCCTCGTATCGCACATTCTGCGTGCTGATCACCTCGCTGAAATCGATGGCGCCCTCGGGCAGGGACTCCTCCGCACTGGTCCGTATCACGGCGATTGGGATCTGCCTGCCCAACAATTGGCAGGCCTTTTTCAGGGTGGGGAATCCCGACACCGTTCCTACCAGGAACTTGGCCCCGCTGAAGGTCAGCTGCCTGGCGATCTCGTCTGCAAGCGGAAAGTGACGATCAGTGACGATCTTTGGACTTCGGAACCCCTAAATACAGATGTCGCCACATAAAGACCCCAGATAAGGCGCCTTTGACGCACTCAAGAGCCCCCAATAAACAAACGCCCCTCACGTACAGCTATGGTCACGCAAATAGCTAATTATTTGCCTAATTAACTGCATCATATTCCCAACTGTTTTTGTGGTACTCACCTAAGCTTTTATTTGCCCTAAACTTTTATGAACGGTTTACGATGGGTACTAGCTGACATTTGTACTTATATAATATGTGTGTTGGGTAATCCTATTTAACTTGCAGCTTTTAAGGTTTAATTTGTAAAAGTAACTAAAATGCTTTTAATACTTAAATCATTACAGCTTTAATTTGAAAATTCCCAAAGGTATATATTGTAAAAACTGCAAAAAATGTACTGAAAATTTTAAGAACTATTAAACCTTGCCGTAATTTATTTTAGTTATAGGCAATACGATATTGTGCCAATAATTTGATGTGTACTGTATTCAGCAGAACATGCAAAGCTAATTCTTTGTTTCTATTCTATTCAAAAATGTTATAATAAGCCCCTCAGATTATTGTTATTATGCAAAATTTTTATCATTAATCTGTCATTGCTACCGTTGCGAACACCATTGTACAAAATGTGTCTTATCACCGGCGTTTCTTAAGGAAAAACCGGGAGCAGGGCCCCTTGGGGACTTCACTTACCCGGCGTGTAGACGGGATTCACGGTGGTCACCGTAAGACCCGCTTCGATGGCGCCCAATGTGGCGATGGGGAACTCGGGGAGATTGGGAAGACAGATGGCCAAGACATCCGGCTTATGGAGCTTAAACTTGGTCTGCAAACGTACGGCAAAAGCGGCACTAGCATCTCGCATCTGGGCAAAAGTATACTGCCGATCGGTGATCACACACACCTGAAAATGCAAATCAAGTTTATGTATATTCCGGATAAGTTCAAGAAGATTATTAAAAAAAAAATAGTTTTCGATATATGATTCCCTGTTCAATGTTCAAAACCACTTTACTTATGCACTAAATGTAAATCAGCCCCATCTGAAGATAACTACAAATCAAAATCAAAAAAAAAAATCTGGGAATAACCAAATGGTCACACGAATCTTATCTAAAGAATGTTTCAAGTGGAATCATATATCACGGTGGAATATTTATGGGAAAACAAAATCGTGAGACTACATTGTCGAACAGGTGTTATATAGTGTATGGCGAAATTAAATGGTGAAATTATGTTAGTAATGCCCCCTACACACTACTACCGCTTATATGGGTTAAATCGTTTACTACCTAATTACCAACATAACAATTCCTTTGCTGAGAGTCTAATAAAAATTTGTAGTGCGATAAGATAATCCGACCTTGCTAAATTCAAATGACAACAAGAAAGAAAAGCTAACTTCGGACGGAGCCGAAGTTGATATACCCTTGCAGAATATTCTGTAAATTATATTCTTCAAAATTATTCATATGATGTATTCTTAATACTCATAAAAAGTCCCAACTTCCTAACTTTAAAAACACCAAAGTTATGGCATTTCCAATCGTTCAGTTATATGGCAACTATAGGATATAGTCGGCCGATCCTTATGAAATTTGGCAGGTCGGATTGATTGGCCAAAAATAAAACCCATAGAAAATCCCAACTTCCTAACTTTACAAACACCCAAGTTATGGCATTTCCGATCAATCAGTTATATGGCGGCTATAGGATATAGTCGTCCGATCCTTATGAAATTCGGTAGGTCGGATTAATTGGCCAAAAATAAAACTTATAGAAAATCCCAACTTCCTAACTTTAAAAACACCAACATTATGGCTTTTCCGATCGTTCAGTTATATGGCAGCTATATGATATAGTAGCCCGATCCGGCTCGTTCCGACTTATATACTACCTGCAATAGAAAGACAACTTTTGGGAAAGTTTCAAGCAGATAGCTTTAAAACTGAGGGACTAGTTTGCGTAGAAACGGACGGACGGACAGACGGACAGACGGACAGACGGACATGGCTATATCAACTCAGGAGGTGATCCTGATCAAGAATATATATACTTTATAGGGTCGGAAATGTCTCCTTCACTGCGTTGCAAACTTTTGACTGAAATTATAATACCCTCTGCAAGGGTATAATGATGATAGTTTAATCAGCAAACAATTAAAATCGGCTGTTTTTTTATCTGCGGTAATGTTTTTATATCAGTACAAGTTTTTAACCCTATGGGCAATTCACAGATTAAATTAATGTCTTTGAGATTTAGCTAAGGTCAGTTTTGTTTGTAGATTAGTCAAGAAGAGACCTTTGAAAGTTGTTTACTATAAGTTTTTATAGAGATCTATCGATTCCAAATCTAGAATTTTCAAATACCTAATATTAACATAAGAATTAAGATGATAATTATTTCAATAGACATCAAGATCTTAATATATCTTATATTAGTATAGGAATAATCTTAACTTTTCCCAGTGCAGGGCCTTTCACTGAACTTGACCTCTCGGTAAGCTGACTTCATAACCGGTTGCAGGGCTAAGGTGAAGGTCGTGATAAACGAATTGGCAAAATTCAGTTAAATGGGTGGGCGAAGTGAAGGGTGTGTTGATTTGCTGATTGGGGGATTGTCAGCCATAATTTGCGCAGTCGGAAATCGCATTCGGTTAAAAATAAGCATTATAAATAGCAGCACCGCCAACAAGTTGCTTAAATTGAAGAAAACAACACACAAACAGGCCGCATACACACATCATAATGAATAAATAAGCGGGTATAAAAAATAAGAGAATCATTTCGTGCATTTGCCATACAGACCCCCCTGCCCCCTCCCCCGCGCTGTATACCCATCGAAAACCGCTTCGCTTGGCTTCAGTCGTTTGGACGGTCCAAAGTTCAGTGGGGCAAAGTACAAAGTCTGCAAAGTCTAAACGAGTCGGGCCCCAAATCCCCCCTCTCCCCTTCCACCCCCCACCAGTCGATCTGCTCTTCTCTTTCTGTCTGTGCCGCTCTATCTCTCTCTTGTCACTTACTCTGCATTGTTTGTTGACTTTTGAGAGGCGAAGAAAAAAAAGTAGCTAAAAAATAGCCAAAAGTATCTCATATTTTAGGTAAAAAGAAAAGTAACTTTAAAGCAAGATCGTTCACATAATTTAACGTATTTAAAACTGTTTCAATTTCTGCTATTTTAATTGTTAAGGCGGATACCTAAAAAAGTGTTTTACGTAGAATATACATGCACATCATTTAAATTTACTTTAAAGTATAATACATAGAAAACATTAAGCTTCAAATAGCGTAGACAAATTATAACTGTTTTGAGACAAAGTCTCATGCCTTGTTATAAAAAAGATTGTTTGTACTCTGATAAAACGAAAGATAATGTCTAACAGCCTATAAAATATATTAAATAACCATGTATACATATTCAAACTATTAAAGATAAAAACCTAAAAATACACAATTGTAGAGTGCTGTGTGCAGTCGACTATGACTATTAAATAGTCAATCTACCAACACGGATGGCAATCAAGAGCGGAGAGAGCATAGATCGCATCAACATATCGGTGGAGGCTGGACCTCGACCAACTGCTGACGTCGGTCAGGGAAAAAAAGCAACAAAAATCAAAACAAAACCATCAAAATTATCAACCAAAACCAAAAAAAAATACAAATACCCAACGAAAAGCAAACGTAAATAACTTTGAGGCAATTAAAAGATCATTATATGGACTTATCAAGGAATTGGAGTTCATTTGGGTGCGACAAACACTTGAGCGAATGTCAAATAAAAACGGCAATTGATTAAAACTGACCGATTGCACCTATGAGTCATCAATATGAGTGCATTCACCAGCTGCACAAACAAATAAATTAAAGTTCAAGGAATTGAAAGTGGCTTTTCGTCCCTAAACTGTTTAAAAGCGATAAACTATTTCAAGAAATCCTGATTACTAATTTACTAACAAGTTTAGGAAACAAGAATTTCGTCCACTCTAATAAAATTAAAAAAAAATTACAAATAAAAACACGTAACATAAATGAATGTAGATAACTGATTCACATAACAAATATTGTTTACAACTCGAAATAAATAATATAAATATTTGCACGTTGCCCAAGTGCTGCTAATAGTAAAACAAATGTTTATCAGATTCACGAAAAATGTGAAATATAATGATGACACAGCTTAATCCTTATCTTATCTACCAGAAACCCTCAAGAAAAGGCACTTGATTTTACCACCCTATTGTAGGGTCTCCAATTTCCACTAACCAAACCAAAGGGGCGGATCTGGAAAATGAGTGGGCGTGACAGCGAATGGAAACAATAGGCGAACTTCGCACCGGCATGCAACGCTCTAGGTTTTTAATTGCATTTAATTCAACAATTGACGGGGCTCTGGTTACGCCTCTGGCCGACCATGTGGGCGATTACTACTCGGTTATATCAGACTCAGACTCAGACCCCAACCCCTCCTGCTCGCATGTGCATTGCACAAATGATGGCAATAAATTTCAATGAAAACTGTTTGCACTTTGATTTGCCCAGGCCCAGATACAAACATATTACAATTGTCTGTTTATAGACGACGAAAAGTGAAAAGTGTAAACAATTGGCGAAGGTCGCCTGGGTAATGTTTCGAATACGGGGCTTGCGATATGGTTATGCAAGTGGGGGTGTCATTACATCAAACTTACACTCATGGCAAAAAAATATTTGAACTTGCGGTGTTTAGATTTCTGGACAGAAGTTCTAACCCCTAGGCTACTCGGACAGCATTAGAATAATTTTATGATTAAGGAAAATATTTCCATATTTAAGAAAATATTTCTTTATTCAAGAAAATATTTCTATATTTTAAAAACGTTTCTATTTTTTAGAGTTATCTAATTTGTAGGGTTAATTTGAGACTATTTTTCTATTGAGCAGCATTTCTCATTTTAAGAAAAAAATTTTTAAAAACGAGTACCATTTTTACTAAAATATAGAAATTTTTTCTTGGATTTAGGGCGATTTTAGTTTACGGCGACAATTTCTACATTTGAGAAACACTTTCTTGATTCAAAAAAAGGTGGCTTGTTTTCACAAAAAAAAAATTCCTTGAAAATATAAATCTATTCTTGGAATTAGAAAAAAAAAATTTTATGGCGAATTTCTAAAACTTAGGGTTAGTTTAGCTATGAGTGTAGTTGACAGCAGCTCGGAGGCGATTCATTTAATCGTGAGATTTTTCTTATCACGAATCCCGGGCAATTTGCCTCAACCACTTGACTTATTCCCACTGGGCCATGGATGAAAAAGGCGGAAGGGGAATCGCAATCACGAATCGAAATCAAAATCGAAATCGGAATTAAAATTCAGACCGGAATCAACGCCTTTGGCCCCCCTTTAAAATGGGCTGGTGTTTACTACATTTCACTTTCGCTGTTATCAGGGACCTGTGCGCTTATCAACACAACCCGTCATTAGCAATGTCCGATAAGAGGATGGAGGAGCACAGGGGCCTTAATGACCCAAATTCTCGTGCTGCCACAGACTATACCTAGACCCCCTCTATCGCACTGATAGCACTTCCACCAGTGATAAAAACGGAACGATGGGCGGGGTGGGGGGTTGGATGTATTGCTGTGATGGAGGATACACAACACAATGTCGAGCATTGAGCACTTCAGCAGCGTTGCAAAATTTTGTAGCAGACGCAAATCAGACCGGCGAATGCCAGCGCCCGTATAAATATCACTTTATATATAGACGTAGGTTCAGGTTCAATAAACCGCCATAAACAAACAAAGAATTTCTGAGCGGCGCCTACGACAACGATTGCAACGATTTCGATTGTATGAATTAATTTATGATGCGATTGGGTTTACGGGGCTTTAAATGGGCTCCGGCTTACGTTTACGTTTATGTTGGGTCTCATTCAGTTAGTAAATTCGATTTTAATTAGCGATTGAAAATTTCACATTCGAGACGACTTATAATTGGTTGTAGTAAATCTTCGAGATTGGGGATTTTCATTAGTTTTTCACGTAGTACATCGCTTGGTTTATATTTGTAAAGAAGGCACAACTGTATTGCAGCTTGTCCAAAAATACATAAGTTTAAAAAAAAAGTTTTTTGATTGAAAATTACTTTACTGTTATTATAATTATCACGATAAATATATTCAAGGAACACTTGTTTTAATATCGCTATGTGCATTTTTAGAAAACCTAGTTGGGTAGCTATCATTTAACAATCACTTCCTTTGGGACTTAGCATGAAGAACACTTAAAATCTGAAGAGGTAAGCTTCTTTTCAGTGAGTGAAACCCTTGAAGTAATAGTAGAAGACCATTCCTTGTTGTTTAAACGATAGCGATTCTAGATTTAACGGCTTCCAATAGAGAGTTCTTTTAAAAAGGGATTGAGTTACCATATACAAAACTTATTCGAAAAACACAACATCACTAATTCACTGATCACTTCTGTGGCACTTACCGCAGCGGTGCGACGCTCCCACTTCTTGAAGTCGCGCCACACGTACTCGTGGAGCGGCACTTTGGGCACGGTGACGGGGTCAAAGGGCGAGGTCTTGTAGTAGCCGTCCTCGGCGCTGTAGTGCAGGAACTTGTCCGTCTCGCTGACGCCCTGCGTCCGCTCCCGCTGCGCGCTGGCGGTACTGGTGGTCCGCTCGCGCCGGTTGGTCGAGATGGAGCGCGACGAGACCGCGCTGCCCAAAGCGGTGGCGCTGCGCAGGCGCAGCAACTGAGCGGCTGGATTCATGGTATTTCTTTTTTTTTACTTGCTGCCTCTTTGGTTCAGTGTAGAAGAGAGTGGTGGTGGCGTGGGGGTGGCACTGGGTATGGGTCCTGGTCCGGTTTGGAGCTGACTGCTGCTGCTGCCACACACGTCTGCTGCTGTCGGGTGCTGAGACACGACTGGCGACGCCGTGCAGCGCTGAGAAAAGTAATGCCGCCGCCGCCGCTACTCACCAACACCAACAGAAACAAATACAGCGACGCACGATCGCGTTGGCGGTGCGCGATGTTGCTATCCCTCTCGTCGGTACACTGAAAATATTGATACCATTTGATCAGTGATCACTAGCCATCGGATTATGTGTTAAGTAGTATTCTGAACATATTTTAAATTCAGTCCTTGAAACACATGTTTCCAAAGACATCAATAAAAATGATTGATAATCATTTTAAGATCAAACATGGATTTATTATCAAAAATACATAAATTCAGTAATGTTGATTAGCAGTTAGTTCCAAATAAGTTAATCGTAAAGCATTTGATATTATCAAATGTATGATAAATCTTTATCATGAGGCTATTTTAACTTTTAATATAAAAGCTCACCGAATTGATGTTTAATTCTTAAAATATTTCTCTTAGTGTATATGCAACTCAGTTGCAGTTGTTGTCTTTCTTCCTTCGGAATGCTCTCTCTCTCTCAATCGTTCGCCCTTTCTCTCACAAGCAGTGGCTGCAACTGTAAATTGTAAAGTGAAACGATCTGTCAATAATGTAATGCTACTAAAAAGTGATCTAAAATTGCTAAGAAGAGAGCACACACAAAAATTCAGGGTGTCTCAAATATCTATTTAAGAAGATCTTAAAAGTGCCTTTTTGATGACGTATAACTTTTAAAGCATAAAGTAAATCATGCATAGTTTTACTGCTCTTAAAAAATAGGTTAACAACTCTACAATATTTTGTTCTATTAGGAAAAAATATAATAAAAGCAATACCTAGACTAAAAAGATTAGTGTACCATCGTCTTAGTCATTTGATATACTAGATATAAAGTAGAAGCCCTTTAAGTTGTCACGTTGTCCCTTTCGAGAGGTTAAAGATAGGACAGTAAAATTTCACATTAAGTTGTCAAGAGTTATTGACACTTAATATATTTTGAGTTGATGAGTTTGCCCCTTGAAACGTTCGGGTTGTTTCCAGTGCACCACTCTTAGTAATTCTTAGTAGTAATTCGTACACAGTGGCTGCGAGGTACTAGACCTGCATTCCCACGTACCTCCCCCTCCCTGGAAACCCACTTTCACACCCTGGGCTTATCGTTATCACGGTGCAGTGGCTTCTTGATGTCTACGCATGACTTGCAGGCCTTTCCCGCGCTTATCACTCGAATTTTGGTTTACTTGTATCAAACAGCCCATAAAAACGGTATTGTGAACCTTGATCACTGACTCAAGACTTACTAATCCCGTTAGAAACACCTGCAACGAGTGGAGCTGAAGAGAATCGAAAAATATTCCTAGTACAATTAGAAAATATAGCTATTTAAAAATTATTACATTAATGTTTTGACTCATTTAACATGATTTTTAAGTTAAATATGCGGAACTATTTCGATTTCCTATGAATTATTGTTATTATGATTAATGGTTTTAGGTACAATCAGTAGCTATATGAAACAAGTTTGTTAGGAACCCCTACCCCTAGTATTCGTCGTATATTTTTCAATGAAAATTTACTTTGAGTAAAAAAATGTTTTGTCGATCCAAGTTTTATCGAGATCCCATTTATAAGAAATAGAATAAGAAAAGTGCAACATTTTTAAATGTAAATATACATAGAACGTATTGGTTTTAAAGAGTTTTTCAACCTGCGAATCCAAAAAAAAAAAACTGGGCTTTTATTCTTTTCTGGAAATGTAACTGAAACTGCAAGTGAATCTTCATTTGCTTTTGAGTGCATTCACCTTTTCCAAGTGTTTGAATGGGTAACTTAACACTTAAAATTCTGCGTTTGCAATGGACACGGCGTTGCTGTCTACAAAATCAACACAAAATATGTAACACGAGCTGGAAAAACTAATCCCCGCAAGGAAACAACAATTAGAGAGCAACGTAAGCAAAGCTCAAGGCCAACAATAGAAGGCCCTTTCCCTTCTCACACATTCGGATAATTCTTAATTTGCATTCCGCTTTCTTTCCCCCTCCCTCTTTCGCGCTCTTACCGTTGCATCGATCAAGTTATTGCATCGAGAGAAGAGAAAACAAAGATAAAGAGTGAGAGAGTTACAGGGGGCCTGATATCCAGTTTTATATAGTATAGCATAGTTTGTGGGCATTATAAATGCCGTATACTTGTTATTCAACAGTTGGATCCAATTCAAACTTATCTCATGTACACTCACATATAATTTGCTTATTTTATTCGCATAACAAATCAAACAACATTTACAATGCACCACATACATTGTTCTCTCTCTCGCCCTGCCTCTCCGACATACACAGTTGAGTTCACAATAATAGCACCATCTGTGTGATAACAATGTAACGATGACCTAATTAATAAATTTGTTAATTGCGTTTATTCGTATTAAATTATTAGTATATGGTATTTGCTAATCAAATTAGTATATTTGCAATAATTGGTGAACAAGGCGTTATCTATCTAGTTAAGAGTTATAAATTTGCATATTTATTTTATTGTTATACTATTGTTGTTGTATAAAGATGTTTTAAAATTTATCTAAGTTGTATGATTATTATATTAAAACATGTTTAGGAAAACTTGAAAACTAATAGTCAAGGGTGTCAAAAAAACCATTCCAGTCCAATAACATAAAAAAATACCAGTCGAAATATATTGTCTATTTCATAAGCAAATGTTAGTCTATGAGAAGTAAATGGAATCCGTGGCACATATAAAAAAATCGCCCTTTTAAAGAGATAACATTAACAGAACTTTCTTATCTCCACTGACGTCTTAATAAGTGTTAGGAAAAACATATGCTAAAAATATGAACTTGGCTGTGCGTAGCATGCAAAATTTGTGTGATTCGCGAAAACAAGTCGTCGTACTTTCTTGGCGCTATTTTAAGTTGAACTTTGTACCCGGGCTCAAAGTCGTCCGAATCGTTTGCCCCCCCCGCCTCCTGCCTGAAAGCGGCACCAAAACAAACTCCAAAATGTTTATCCAAGCAAACCAGTTTTTCTCGACTTCATTAACGTTGTTGCATTTGAGTCTGCGGTTGTTTTTTAGTTATTTATATATTTTTTGTTTGCTGCAGCTCCAACTTGTTTACGGTTGTTATTTTCGAGCTGGATTATTGGTAGGATTTAGATTTCTCGGGTGTAAGGTACACCTTTTTGGGATGCTTTATCAGTTTTTAGTGGGGGGATTTGCCACAGGTTTCAGTTTTAGTTTCTGTCACTGTCACCCACTCACACACCTGCACTCTAATTTGGTAATCTGCTGTGCTCAGCGCTCGTTGGAGAACTGCCACCAACTTGATGCTCAACCGAAAGGAAAGGGGGAGGGCGGTGGTCGAGGTCGGGTCTGCCCCACAGTGGTTGCTCTCTCTTCGCAAGAGAGCGATGGAGAGCAGATTGCGAGGGTGGTTCTGGCTCAGTGGTGGCACTATAGCCATTTTCTGGCTAAATTCCAAGGCCCCAAAAGCAGCTTGTAAGCGGTGCAACTGCTGCCTAGCCTACATATAAATTAAGAGTAATATCTTTTTTAATTTAAGTAAGTAAGAATACATTTAAAACGTATTAACCTATTTGGTTAAATCTACTTCCCTAACAATGTATTAATTTGGGTTAGTAATTAAATCCAGCCTGAACACGAACGTAGTCATAAAGTTATAACCCGAGAAAAAATCAAAAATGGGAACTTTAATAAAAATATTTTAAATATCTATTGTTTATGCTGGCAACATGTTATTTAATAAAGAGCTAAAAAGGTTAATAATATTTATTGTACTAGTAAAAGTATGCATTAAATGATCATGCCGGCTTAAGTCCTGGGAGGAATGAAACGTCAATAAGGCTGTATCTAATATGGAATGTAAAACTTACATTTTATATTAAATATGTATATAAGCGCCACCTGATGGTGAATAACTATTACCTTTCTGCGGCTCACTTCCAGATGGCGCTGGAAAAAACCTTTAAATGTTCAATAGTTTTTAGGTAGTAATAATAGTATCGATTGCACCCGGATATTTTAAAATTGGGATATTTTGAAAAATGGTTCTTTGTCCTTAGCTAGATATCATCAAAAGAAAATGCACCTGAAATAAGATCATTATTTAGAAATGCAACTTGATTTACTTTCATATGGTCGTGTCCTCAAGATAGGAGTTCTGTTTAAATTATCAGTCCCTTTTTTGAAAACATTCTTTTAGATTTGACTAAAAGGGCTTGATGTTTATCGTACATTTAAAAAGCGAACAAAATTTAACGTAAAGTATATAAGTGTTAATAATCCTTGATCTACAATTTTAATTTCGTCTTCTTTACCATTGTTACAATTACATTTATCATTATCCTTATAATAATTAAAATAAATCCAAACACTTGTTCACCATTGTTGCGTTAAATACGAAATCGATAGCAACCTCGCGCCAGTGAGCCTTCACTAAAGGTCCTTTGCGCACAACAAAAACTCTATATATCGATACTCTCTTGTGTGGCGTCACCTAGCGGGTGAGTTACTAAAACAGGACTTTTAAAAAGAGTCGATGTTTGAAATGAAGGAGAGTATCTGAGCAATCGGTAGTGCTATCGATGTAAACCCAGCTCTAGTCGCGCGCAACTCACTCGTAGTCGACTTTTAGGTGCGTAGTCGCGAATAACTATGCAGAGGCAACTCTCGCGTCGAACGGTCCTCAGAATCCGGGAGTCGTCCTCCAGTTCAAAAAATCAGCAAATAAATCCAACATTTCCGTGCGCCATTTAATTTTTTTTTTTTTTTTTACTCTTTGGCAAATTTGGAAATTGCAGTGGGGGTGGGGTGGATAAGGGAGGGGGGTTTGGAAAAGGGGGGAGGGAGCGCACGTGTCGGCGTCGCAGTCGGCAATTGTTGCACGCTGCTCCTCCACAATTCTCGCTTCATGTTCTTTCTTGTTTGTTGTGTGCTTCGTGTCCCGTTAATGGTTTCTTCTCCTCCACATCCACCTCAACCTCCCATTTCTCATACACAACTGCAGTGCAAAGTGAAATGCGAAAAAACGCGTCGCAGAGTAATCACATCAAAAATACAGCGAAGGCAGATAAATTCAAAGAATTGAAGAATCAAGCAAAACCCAGTGAAGAATCAATGGAAGAATCAGCGGAATAACACTAAATAAATATAAATATCCACCATTTAAAAGCAATCAAAAAAGCAACCAAACAAACAACAAAAAAGCAACAAAAGGTAATCACAAAAAGGACGAAATATTGTGTAATGAAGTTGAATTTCTTTTTGCCCCAAAAAAACGAAAAAAAAAAATAAAAAAACACCAAAAAGTGGAATAAGAAGGAGCGAAGGCGAAAGTGATACGCAAAGAGAGAGCGAGTGAGAGCGGCATAAACACACTTCTAATTGTAATTGTTGTCTACTGTCGCTCTGCCGGCGTCGCTGCCGCCACTAAAAGTTTTTCCCGGTGGAGCGAAAGAGACAGCGCGAACGGCGAAGTTTTCTCCGAAGAAAAAGTAAAGAAAGGCAAAGCAAAGAAAAATAAATGAGCACGGAGTAGGAGTAGGAGTAGTGGAAAAAATGAACATAATAAGTTAAATTTGCGTGCTGTTGGCTTTTCGTTGATTCATGTTTCTTTCTATATTATTTATTTATTCCGTTTCTGTTGGTTTCATATTTTTTCCCAATTTCTTGTTTGTTTTCTTTCACATATTCTTGGTGCTTTTTTGCTCTTAGCAGAATGTGTGTCAGCCAACAAAAAATGAAATGCGCAATTATGTCAGCAACTAAATAAAACGAAATAAATCCTACATAGCAACTACAACAAATGGTTGCTTTTCAAGTGCAACAAACACACGGACGCACACACACCACCGCACTTTGCGGTTGCATAAGTGTCAACCGCAACACACGCGTACAGTTTGACAGCCACAGTTCTGAGTTAACTTTAACACGAGTAAAAATACAGCGGAAGGTCCTTAAGGCAAACGCAAAAAGATGTGCTTTGTTCAACAAAAGACTAATTTTTGTGGGGTGCCTAAAAGTATGCAACTCGTTATGTTAACCAAAAAACACGGTATATCCTTGCAATGCTCTCTTTAGTATCGCAACTATTGTTTTTCAATGTTTGAAGATATGTTTCTGGGAATGTTGCATATTTTAATTTATATTTAAAACTTATATACTTAAGATTTTGGTTAAGTCATACTCGAAAGTGTGATGTACCCCATGTTTCACTAACAAGCAATTGAAAGGCAGACTTGAATGTAATAGGCAATCAATCACTACAAAGATTAACCAATATATATTGAATCAGGAGAACCCGCATTCAAACTACTTTTTTGTAACAAATATTAAAATATTAAAGTTCTGAAAGCTGAATTGCCTAAAGTTTCGCCGGTCAAACTAAGCTTAAGTTCGCAAAGATTTGGCATGCGAAAGTTCGGGTAACGAAAGTTTTACTGTACAGGTTGAAAAGGATAAGGGCGAAGCACCTGCGGGTGGGTGGCAAAGTGGGCGGCTTAAGTTAGTTGACATCCACACAAGATTGATATTGATGCCCTTTACACCCACACTGGCATACTCAAACACACACACATACACATACACAGACACCCACACACGTACAGTGAGTCACAGCAACAGGAAACGGGGAAAACTACTTAAATATTTAAAGCATTTGATGCCAAAGGGAGGGCGATAAAGAGAGCGAGACGATGGAAGTGAAATTGAATGGTTCCGCCCACTTTTTGCGCCCGAAAGTATGCAAACAATGCCAAATGGCACCAACACAAATGTCGAGTAAATCTTTAGCAAGTTTTCCGCTCCCCAAGAAAACGCAAGAAAACGCGAGAAAACCCACAACAAAAAAAGAACAACCGAATTACAATAAGAACCCAATAATTTTGACACGCATGTGTGGCTTGATGTGTGTGTGTGTGTGTGTGGGCCAAATGAAAAGGGCCAAAACATTAAAAATGTACCACAGCAACAACACAAATAACAAAAATAACAAGAATAAAGGGAATAACACGAAGAAGGTCCAAGCTGACGGGCGCCACAATTTGCTGTTAACATAAAATAAATAAAAAGAAGCAATACACATATATAAACACACATGCATAGTATACATATATCTAGAAATATTTGCTACGCTTTTGGCAGTTGACTTTTGGCGCTGACTGTTCCTATTCGCATTTTCCACTCGTTTCCATTTCGCAATTTTCAATTTTACTTTGCGCATATTTAATATGACAAATCGTAAATAAGATTCGCCACACATTCAGCCCCTTTTGTACACTAAACGCAATTGGATACTTTAATAATCTTTTTTGTTCTCAAAGACAATTTAATGTAAACATTTTCAGTACTAGATTATTTCCTGTTACTTTTAAACAAATATATTTACAAATGTTTGGGCAAGAGAACTCAGAAAATCCGCATCATAGTGTTAATATAATAAATCAAAATTAAAAGTACCTCCTTATTATTTCAGTGCCTTTTTATTTTCTTGTTGTACTTTTATTACTCAAAGTTAATGAGTTTTATGTCTTGGAGAATGGGATGGCTAAGGGAATGTCCTGGCTAATCAATCAAGCGGCATCAATAAACCCTTAAGCAGATTTGCAAAACAATTTATGTTCTTAGAAAAAATCAAAAACTTCACGTATCCTGAGGAGACTTAAAATATTTGCTGTCGGATTTCCATAAAATATGTGAAATGTGAAAGCTGCCACCCGGCGCTTTTCTTTTTCCCCTGACCCTCCGCAAATGTTTTATGTTTGACATCCGCTGGCATCCGTGTTGCCTTGCCGTGGCTTCCGTTTCCGCATAGCGCTGCATTTCCCCTGCTCCTTTTTCCCCTTCCTAACTGCATTATCGTATTGCCCGCCATCTACACTGAGCGGAAAAGCGGTAATTTATCACACTGCCCGAATGGTTCACTATTTTTATTGGCCCTGAATAAATAGGGGTTTGAATAAATGTGTTTCGCATTCTTTTAGAAATGTGACGGATCCAGTATTTGATTGTGTGTGTGTGTGCGGTGGTGGGTTATAGAAAAAATCTTAGCATTCTTTTTAATACCAGATTTAATATCTATTTTTACACAGGTGTGGGTGGGTAATTGAACCCCGCGATTGTTTTAAAAATATTATATATGCTGTTTCACTGATTATACATTAATAGCAATCTTTGTTTAATTAATTTCTTCAAATTCTAGCGAAAACAAGGTGTCTAGAAGTATATAATTATATATTTAATTGCTGATATTTGCACATAATGTTTTGAAATAAATAAATAGCTGTGAGATATTTGTGGAACACCCTGAAGGGAATTGCCCTTCCTTATTTTTTTGGTTTTTCTTTGTGCAGGCAGCGGCACTTATCGCTACAGAGTAGAACCAGCAGCTGGACCACCTGCTGACTTCCTGTCAGATTGTCAGACTGTTTGGCTTGGCTTTTGGCTGTGGCTTCTTTCTGGCAGCTGCGAGGACTAGCAACTCGCTCCTCGCGTCCTTGTCCTCGTTGACCTTGTGCCCGAGATCTGGCTGTCGTATCAAAACAAGTTTATTAACATTCCACTGGCTTTCAAAGCGGTTCTGCCCCCGCCACTCCCCGCCCCACGGCACTTGGCAGGTGCCCAGGGGGAGGGGGTGGGGGACAATTACATATGTAAAATGTGGGCACAGTTTGGCAGCCATTGAAACGAATGGGCACGCCGTCCTGTCGCCATAAAATTGGAGCAAAAATCCCTAGCCAGTTTTCCTGAAGCTGAAAGAAGCCAGGGTTGTCAACCTTTACACATTTAACTTATTTTAAAATAATCACTAATCAATTATTAAATATTTGGATATTGAAGTTTATATATTTTTTGTGTTTTAGAGGAGTATTAAAGGAAATGTTGAGTATCTAAAATTTAAGTTGACTAAGCTTTATGTTTCGGGAATAAAAAAATGTAACAGATTTATTGATACATTGAAGATATCTCTAAGCATTTGAAATCCCTTGAAAGGATGTTCTAGATTGATATATTTTTGACAACTCTAGCCGAAACTGAAGAAGCTGGAAAAGCGAAAGGAAAACGCCAAAGCACGTGTACAATATGTAAATTTATTTATTTCTCTGTTGTTGCTGCTTTTTCATCTTTTTTTCTCGGCCATTTCTGGCTGTCTTTACACAGTTTTTGGCTTTTTGGTTTCTGCTCTTCTTGGCCCTTGGCTTGATGTTGTTTTTATGTTAATGTGCCCGGCCGAATGTGAGTGTGTGCGGGTAAGTGTAAGTGTTAGTCCCTAAGCTGTTTGTGTGTGTCTGTGTGGTGTTCCCAGGCCAAATTCGCCCACTCCAGCTCCTTCAAGATCTTCCCTCTCATGTGCTTGCTCATTGCTTTTAATAGCCAACAACACGCCATGCATTAATTTATGAATTTCGTGTTGTACCGGGCTAACGGGCTAACGGGCTGGCAGAAGCGGGCGTGGCCTTTCCGCCCACCCGGAAAGCTTTTAGCCGGAGAGCCAACAAGCCGCAGAAATAATTAAAAAAGAATATAAAGGCAGTCTACAAAAAAAGCCGAAGACACTTACCGATTCTCGCATGCTGAAGATTTAAATAAATTATTACTTTTAGCTGCGAAAAAAAAACTCCCTTCCCATTTCATATTATATATATTTTATCCTATTTAAATATTTTATGTGGCAATGAATTTGTTGAATTTGATATCAATGGATATCAGAAAGCTGATTATGCTAAATTGGGGTTAATCAAATTCAATAAGTTGTACTGATAACACGAAACGAGCATATTATTCGAGGATGATCTATTAAATAAATTATAGCTTAATACTTATTTTATTCAATGCTCATTTATATGTTAGAGGATTAAAATGATTTACTGTCTTTTGATAAATTCAATTTTTATCGACAAGCCATCAACAATAAATTCAGTTAGTTCACCACTTTTCATTGCATGATTAAATATGCCATAAAAGACCCCAACAGTCTTGAAATAGATTACAATATTTATAACTGAACAAATAACTAAATATATATATTTGAATATCTGCCAAACTCGCAAGATATTAATATTGAGAGTTTGTAAAAAATATTCAATAATTGTTGCCAGCTTAAAACGACTAGGATTCGTATTCCAATTTACGAATATTGCAGTCTTAACGGATATAAATTTATAAATTTAAAAAAAAGTGTATTAAATGTGATATGAAAAATACTTTCACTGTATTAC